GTCCGGTGAAAATCCTGAAACTCGGTGAACCGATACCGATTACCTTTTCGACGCTGCGACAGCCGCGCACGCCACTGAACGCCGTATTGAAAAGTTGTTTTTAAACGTTATCTGCGGAAGGCGTTTTAAAATATTAAAATAATACACATGCACTTTGTGGTTGATCGAAAAAAAAAAACAGAATGCATAAACAATATTTATTCCTGCCGGTCGTTGTCCGAAGTGCAATTATATATTATTATAATATTATACATTACGTGAAGTGAAACCAAATACGCACGCGTATCCATATCTATACCTGTATAATATACATACTATATATTGTAATAATAATGCAAAAACTAACTTTCTCTCGCCGGAACGATTTTAGAAAATAAAAATAACACGAAGACTATATTATACTCCGGTCTGCGACCGCAAAAAATAAAAATATTAAATCTTGCGTCGCGACAAGATAAACATACCTATATACACAGTAACTATATGCACTTCTTATGCAGTTTCATATTATGTTGACGAAAATAAAATATCAGCGTGTAAAACCACAAAAGTCACATCGCTTGTTCGTGCAATAAAATTAATTTTCTGAAATTGTCTACATAATATCGTCGCGCGTATTACAGCAATGCGTATCTCAGTTTTAATATTGTTTTACAGGGCAATCAAAACACATTATTTAAATGATTTTTAAACTCTCGATGTTAGATACTGGTAATGTTTAACATATGTTTTGCACTGATAATGTACTCTCAATGCAATTATTGCCATGTGTTGTTGGCGAAAATTTCGAATGCTGGGCGATACAAAGATATTGATGTCAGTGACGTAATGATTTTCGTGATTTACGGCGTAACCACGAACCAGCAAAACAAATTGTAGAAAAAAAACATTTGTATTATCAATATAGAATTTCGTATCATCTTGACAAATCTTGATCTACGTGCTAAATTGCAGTAAAATAAGCGACGATAATATTGCTATATTAAGGAAGTGTGTGTGTCTGTGCGCGATGTTCAGCCGAATCTATCGCACTCAGAGGTCCGAAAATTGACTGGGAGGCGAATGAATGGGTCCGCGGATGGAAACAAAAAACAATTTATTATTAGTTGATTCGGTTGCCACGAACAAGAAAGTACCCTTTTTAAACATTAATTACCCGACAACAACGGCCGGTTAACTGCAATGATAGGGGGGGGAGAGGGGAAAACAGCAGATCACGGAGTAAACTGAAAAACTTTTTTTATTATTATTTTTTTTTTCTGTTCAATACTGTGCACCGGACAGTTAGTTATTAATAATATTGTTTCAGAAACTATTGAAAAACATATTATTATATGTTTGACCGAAAATAAAATGTATTATGAATACTTAAAAATATTAACTTTAATTACTTTATATTACACGTATTTGAAACTTTTTAGACAGTATATTTTTATCGATTCGATGAATTCCTCATTGTAGGCGACGACCCCACTGCTGTAGGTATTATAAATCACTCGGACGATAATAATTTAAACACTATCGACTCGAGAAATTATCAACATTGAATAGACGAACATTGAATTTCGTAGAATGTATACTTGTTAAAACGAATGAGTTTACAGAATATTAAACCCGCGATTCAGATAATATAGACAATCGGACTTACTAAAAAATAAACAAATAAATGTGTATATATATATATATAAATAAGCATGTTGACGGGAGGAAGGTCGATTTGGTTTTTCTGTATTCACAGCGATTATCATCATTTATACGGATAAATGTGTTTTTCTGTCATAGCGAAATATCGTTTTTAAACCGTCTTCATATTCGTGCATGCGCACAATATTTGCCGATTCGACAACAGAACGCGATTTTGTTGAAACACATCAATTGTTAGCTGCGTTCGGATCTCGCGCGTATACGAAAACGGAAAAAATGCGGATTACACCGAGATTTTGCATACGGATTAACGGTGAAAAAAAAAATGTTTCAAATGTGAGACGCTGGCGGTCGGCGCAGTGACATTCTGAAATATTCAACGTTTCGCATAATTGTATTACGCGCTGGTTCACGGTATCCGATGTGCGCGAACGGACCGAGGGTATTGTACGGGTCCGTAAAATACCGTAAACGTCATAATATTATTATCGATGGAAACGAGAACCGACGACGGCGGCGAGGTGGGATTTATTCGTCGGTGTACCTCACCGTCGGCCGACCAAACGGGAGACGAATGAATCGCTCTGTATGTAAAGAAAAAAATAAATGATAAATAGGCAGCGGGAAACGCCGATAAACCGTGTACGGGCGCCGATCGATAAATAATAATAATTCGTAACCTATTATCGTTTAAAAAAAGAATAAATAAACGATTTGTAGAATTTTCTATATTTTTTTAATTGTACACGATAATTACACGGCCACTGCCTATACACGCATATTATGCACTGTTATACTTAACACGATTAAGCGATGCATTTCGATTTCATGTGCGCGACGCGATCCGCGCTGCGGGCGAAAATCGCGCGCGTTTCCGCGGCGATAAAACCGCTCGTTATTGAAAAACGATCAGACCGCGCGGGGAAATTGCGCAAAACCGAATGCCAACTCGTATGCGTGCACCGATAAAAAATAATAATAAAAAAAAAAAAAAAAACCCCCGAAAGTTTTTTTTCTTATCAATTTTTTCCCGATTGTCGCGGCGAACCGATCGGGGGGGGGGAGTGGAAAGGGGGTTAGTTTTCTCCGTACGGCCCGTGCGCGGCGGGTCGAAACTCGAAACGTTCGAAACGGTCTCGGACCCTCGGACTCTCGCGTCGCGACGAACGGCGCGACGTGCACCGCGAGCCGGAAAACTCGGCGCCCGCCCGTGCCGCAGACGGGTGTGTGATTATGATATTACGAGGACGGAATCCAAAGTGATATCGATTATTGACCGCGGGTGCGCCGCCGTTTCGCACGGGTGTACGGCGCGGGGGCGGTCCATCCGCGCGGGGCGGTCCGACGGTTTTCCCGGGTGATTTCGAGATTCGAGCATCCGGCGCGCGCCCCCGCTGTGGCCGCGACAACCGCGGTCCAATCGCGTGAAACCGCGTGCGTTGCGACGGAAATCGTCGCCGGCTATTTTTTTCTTCGGGCAAACGAAAATAAAACGAATATAAGCCGCGTTCGTCCGTACGGCTATCGTAAAACCAAAACGTGAAACGTACAGTAAATAAGTGTACCGGCACGTTCCCGTTTTACGAAAATGAAAATCCCAAACGGTTCCGGGTATTCACGGCGCGAATTCGCAAACACGCGAAATGCGCCATATCCATATGGCGCGTCCGGTTAAATTTCCTAAATTTTCCTAACAAAATTTCGATAAAATTCCGCAAACCACATAACGTATTTCATACGTCGATCCGTAAATATATAGGCGCAAAATGTTTTGAAACACGTAAAATCCAATAACTCCAGTAATTTTAACAGATTCAACAGAACTTGTTGTCGTAAAACGTAAGGTATGACGCGAATGTTTTCTGCGGGGCACCTGTAGTTATTTTGTAAACGAGAAACGCACGCGTGGTACCGGATACCGGAGCCGTTCGGGATTTTAACTGTACTCTCGCGCGATCTTTTTCGACGGGAGCCGCTCGGGAGGTGGGTACACGTCCGGGGATCCAAGAAAGTCGTGCGATCGTCGTCACTTGATAATCGATTTATCGAACCGTATTTATGTAAATTGAACAGTTTAACCCGTATTTTCTAGTAAACATAATATGATTTAACACCAACGTTACTATACCTATTTAAACTGATGTCTATGTAGATACGTTTTGCCGCGTCCAGAAAGGGCTGTTATGAGTATTCCGTAGAAATGTCACGTTATTATTTATTTATTTATTTTTTTTCGATCGAATTACAAGTGGGGTGGGGGGGGGGAGAAATCGAAAATAATCAAAACTACATTCTACCTTTCGTACGGTTTTTTCCTTCTTATTTTTTTTTTCGCAATTATTACGGAAACTGCGCGGAAAATCACAAAACGACACAGACTATAAACACAAAAAAACAAAGCCCCCCTTGTCAGTTTTGTTGATTAGGGTGAGATTTCTGGGCGCGAAAATTCGTTTACACACGGACGGACAAAATCGCCCGTACCGCCGTAAAACCGACACGTTCCTCGCCGCGCTCGGAATCTAAACCCGCCTCGGAATTGACTATTAATCCGGCACAATCGAGTTCGATAATTTATCGTAATATTTAATCCAGCCCCCCCCCCCCCCCGTCCAATATAATTCCCGTAATAACCTAGTGCAATTATTGATATTTATTAAAAAAAAAAAAAAAAAAATGCCCAAACTTGTTGCAAAACAATATTATAATGGCCTCCTCTAGAAAGCGTCGGGAACGTAATTTTTTTCGTTGATCCGGTTGCTAAACGAAAACACCGAAGCCGGGCGAGAAATACGACCGCGGATGACGTGACCGTTGAAGCAACGCGGGACGAGACGCATCGCAGTCGTCCGAGACGTACCGCGCCGCGATAAAAACCTCAACCGCCGCCGACAGCGACGACGACGACGACGACGAACGCGACGACGTTACGAGTTTTAATGGTTTTTTTTTTTTTGGTGGGGAGGTGAGAGCGTCGTCGACTGATCGCGCGCCGCCGGTTCGGTCGCCGGTACGTGGCCGCCGCGCCGTCAGTCTAGTCTCCACTCGCCGTCGTACGCGTTCGGTCGTTGTCTGCCGTCACTCAACCGTCAACCAGTTCGCGCGCGCGTCCGTCCGTTAGCGACGCACCGTACCGGCTAAGTTTTTCGTTATTATTATTACTTTTATTTTATTTTTCCGCCCCCGTCGTCGCACGTTTTACGGGATTTTTTTTTTTTTTTTTTTTTCTGTTTCACACGTATTCCGATGTCGTTTCGCCGGACCGTCGCCGGCTGAAAAACCGCGAGTTCACTAACAGTGGTGCGTGTATCACGTCGAAACGCGTCGTTATTTACCGACAGATAGGTCAGCGACCGCGTGCTGCGAGCCGCCGCGCTCGCCCGACATCACCACCGCGCACCATGAAGTTTATCCTATTGTTTCTGGCGGTGGCCGCGGCGACGGCGACGACTTTGTCGGCCGACAGCGTGACCGTGTTCCGGTGCTGCGACCGCGGCGAGACGCTCGACCCGTCCGACATTCACGGGCTGTGCGCCGTACTGCCGGCCACCGAGCCCCTGGACTTCTCGCCGGCCATCTACGACGTGTACAGCAACCAGTTCCTGGCTCCCAACTCGACGCCGCCGCCGTACTGGAACATGGTAAAGGCCCGGCCGCAGTGCCAGCCGGCCATGTTCCTTCCCGCCTCGCCGAAGGACAGCTCGCCCCTTTACGTGTCGTTCCTGAACGGTTCGTTGTGGGTGCAAGACTGGCCCAAGACGCTCATCGACCCCGGGCTGTTCTGCCTGGATCGCGGCGGCGCCCTGGTGTGCCAACCGAAAAAACCGAACATGACGAAGAAATGCTGCGGGCCGTCGGCCGTGTACAGCGAAGTAAAAACGGCCTGCGAGTTCTACGACAAGCACGACACGGAAGACCTGCCGATCGACCTCACGTCCGGATTCCCCCGGTGCGACGAGGAAACGTTTTTCATGACGGGCCGCATAAACGAATCGCACTGGCCGGTCGGCGACAGTTGGTCGAGCGGCGGCACGCTCCGCACCGTGGACGGCTTGCTGCTCCAGCCCCACGAATACTGTCTGGAGCACGTGCTCGAGGAACCCGAGCCGCGGTCGTGGACCGTGTTCACGTGCGCGCCACCGCACGACCGCGAACACGTCACCAAGAACTACCGCGACGACATACGGTTCACGCTGTACCCGCTGGGACTGTTGCTGTCCGTGTTCTTCCTGGCCGTCACCCTGGTGGCCAGCTGCATGCTGCCCAGCACGTACCACGTGCTCCACTGGAAGTGCCAAGTCAACCACGTCGGTTGCCTGTTGGTCGGCGACCTGTTCCTGGCGTTCGTCCAGCTGTCCGGCGACTCGTTGCGCGGCGGTTCCCTGTGCGTGTTTACAGGTACGTACGCCGCGCGAATACACACCGATAACGTTGTCGTAACAATAAACGCAGGTGCGTTTGGGACGGTGGGTGCGCGACAAACTTCGTCGCGAAAACCGCTTTCTCCCGACGCGTTATATTTACTATCGCCGTCGTCGCCATCACGAGAAAACCGAGACCGCGGCCGCGCTCGTAGCCGTGTTTTCACTCTTTCGACCCCCGGCCCCCCCGACCGTCGCACGCGCTATTAAAGGTCCGCCGTGTTTACAATAATCAGTGCGATGTGTGTGTGCCCGAGTGTGACGTTATTGCCGGGGCGATCCGTCTACACGGCGTTCGCATCGACGCGTACAAATAATTTGTCCGCTGCGACGTTCACGGCGCGTCGCCCCCCCCCCTCCCGAGGAATAAGTGTAAATTCGACGGCATTTATTATTATTATTATAATTTTTTTTCTTTTTCGATATTTCGTTTCGTTTACCGTCCGCGAAATCGACAAAACGAGCCCCCCTCCCCCCCCCGGTTACGCCCCGCGCCATACGAGTGCAACGCCAGTGTGGGGTGGCCGGACCCTCTCCGCGTCTCGCGCACAATAATATTCATTACGCTCGCCCGGCGGAATCGGGGTGACGCCGCGGCGGGGCAAAAATAACAATCGCGGTCACAAAAGAACGAAAAATATTAACAAACAAATGCCGTCGCGCACGCCGCGCTACGTGTACGGCCGCGGGTTGTACGCGTACACGGTGTGCCCACTTACTCGTGTGTGCCGTGCGATTTTCGATTTACCGGAATGCCGGTGTATCGTCAGCGGTATTAAATAAACGGACACTGTTCGCACGACGGGCGGGGGCCGCTGTTGTCGGCGAGAAGTCGCAGGGACGGCAGGATATAGAGGGGAATTTAATTTAAATCTGTACGCGACGGTAAACCGATCCGAAGCGAAGTTTCGTTTTATACGCGCGCGTACATTTTCCCGGTGTTCCCGACCGTTATGAAAACCGCTTTGAAAATCAAAAAAAAAAAAAAAAAAAAAAACGACCTTATCACCCGGATTGAAATTCCCATTCGGAAAGAAACAAAAAAAAAAAAAAAAAAACCGCTTGAACATCTTTAACCGGCAACTACTATCGACCAAAACTACGAATCGTATGTTAACGAGCAACATCGATTCCCGCCATCTCCGCGACTACTCATATGTTTTTTTTTTCTTTTTTCTCTCTTCTGAGATTTCGCGTGCATAACAATATCGTCTGTATGTCCAAACAAGCCCGTGTATGAAATAATATTAATTTCCGATGAAAAAAATAAAATAAATATCGTTTAGGCGATTATTATCAACGATTAAACACAAGGTTACGAGCGTTAGAATTTTAACATTTTCACTTTATTAGCTTTAGTAGCCTAACCGATTTCCCCTCCCCGTCCCGTTCGATTTACACATTGACTTCTTAGACAACAAAACGATTCGATTTCACGTTTTCCTATAATTTTAACAAAACGTTGAATTCGCAATCTGTGTTCAATAATTCACTCGATAATACCGTGTCGCGCGTGTGGATTTCCGAGTTTAAAATTATCGTTATAATTTTGATATTCCCGGAACGAATATCCCGCAGCGATCGAGCGCGTGTTTTTTTCATTTTCAACGGAAATCACAAAGTCCCCGGGTTCAGACAATAAAAACTCTATTCACCGTAAACGGCAGTTACCGCAATTTTACTCTCAACTGCGAACCGGGGTAATTGGGTAATTGGCGCCGGTTTTATCGAATTTTCTCAGATTTCGAAAAATTTAAAAACGATTTTTTTTAATTTTTCAATCACCACCTTGCGTATGAGATTTTTCGACTGATCTACCGCCCGCCGATGAACGGAGCCGTTTATGCCGGCGAAAATGACTTTGCGGGAATACGGACGACCCGTTGTTAACGTAATACTATTCGGCCGTTTCGTTTTTAATTGATACACAACAACGTTTCGCGGCTCGCGTGAAACGTCGACTTTGCATTCGGCTTAAAACAACGGCATGGAAAAAGTTAATAAGGAGAAGTAAAAAATCGCCCTTTTTTTTTGGGAGGGGGAGGGGCGTTTAGTTTGTGATGAAAACATTGAAAAACAGAGTTGAACGCGAGCTGTGTAGTGGACGTGTCTTCGTTTTTGCAACGGGCAAAGCATAATCGTCGGAATCGAATCGCTCCGGCCTAGGCACGAGATTTTTTTTTTTCCCCGTAGACCGTGTTTTCGAGCGAAAAACGAAACAAAACCCCACGCTAGCACACCGGGCAATCGATAAACCATTGTCGAATTTCGAATTTGTTCGGTTCGACCCGTTTATAACAGTAGTAGTTATTAAAACGACAATAATTATGTCGGATTTTAACGCGTCGACTCGTTAAATTATTATTGTGCGTATCCGTCCACTGGCCCGGCCTCGATTAACGCGACGCTGTTAACGCTGCTGTTATTTGTGCTGCGTACGGGTACCCAGGCGACACGATTGCTTGCAAGAGCCGTTACGATATTACGGATAAGTTGGTTTTTTTTTTTTTTTCCTTTTTAGCAAGTCACGGAATATACGCGCACATAGTGCGCGGCCACTGCCGTTATCCGATTTTCGAGTTTCGATTATTGTTATTATTATTATTATTATGCGCGGATAATAGAATTTTCGTCGTTATTACGACGTGTTACGATGACGTATTGTCGTGTGATGTCGTAAGCTGATAAATACGTATAGAAAATAAAAGCGAGTTTTTCGGTCTTACGACGAGTATTATTTTATTTATTTTTTTTTTTCTGGTGGCTGGTAGGGGATCGGACCCGCCCCGACCGGCGGGGGTCGGTCATAACGATACGATACGATATTGTTTTTAACGGTGCGCGGCGAGAAACGCGTCGTTCGGAATAGGGATATTTTTTTTTTTTTCTAATTTCGATAATGTCTCTGCCGCGTTCGTACGCGTAACGCACGGTCGTAAATAACAGACCGTCGAGGGGACCGGAAGAAGAATATATTATTAATTTCGTCGAAACTCGTCCTTTGTCGTATACCCGCATAATTGGTCCACAAATATCATAAATAATCCAGCGAGAGTTGATCCGTCGCCGGTCCGGCCGCCGCGTCTTGTGAAATGTTTCAATACAACAACCGACCCTCTTTTAAGCGCCTCCCCGCTCTCGGCGCCCGATTTACCCGATAACCGGATTTCGTGTACGTCCGTCCGTCGCAGTTTCGCTTGTCGTGCCTGTCTCGCGAAACAGACCGCAAGGCCTTTGAAATCGGTCTCGAACGGTTGTTTTACGCGATATCAACAACCGTAGACGCCGACTGCAGGCAATGAATACTACCACACCCGACGGTTTTCGAACCTGTAAAAACAGTTACAGCTATTTTAAAAATTAAAATATAATTACACTATTTGTCGGACCGTCTATAATCCGTTGGGTATTTAGAGAACTATTGTAAAACGCCTTCAAAATGTTCTCGTATGACTACAAATTATCGTATCGCACAGGCGTCTCACCTTTAAAATCTGTTTTCAAAGGTGTTTTCGCGAACACATTCTTCCCGCTACATATACCTATATCGCTCGTTATAAAAAGACAAAACCGACAAATGTCACCACTGTGACTGGGTCTCAGATGCACTGCCGTCGTGGTTGAAAATACGCGCTATTTCAGTTGTAAATTCCTAATGAGGGCCCGTGTTTAGAGACGTTATCGTAATTGACTTTTCCGATTTTTTTCTTCCGTTCACACCTTATAGATCGATATTTTATAAACGAGAAACGCCCGATAATTGGAATGTGAAAAACCCCGGCATTCCGAATTGAATTTCGAAGAGGACACAGTGTCGACTTGTGCAGAAATTTAAGCGATATCACGCGGTATACGCAGGACCGCGGATGCCGAATATTGCACCCGGTTCGAAATTTCAAAACTCAACGCCGAACGACTTTTACGGACTGCAATCCAGTAAGTGTTTTGATTATCTCTGGTGTTTCCGCGCTATTATAGGCATCCTGAATTTCGAATTGTTCGTTAGTTTCTTTTTAACGCGTACACTATTAATACTACACGTATAATTTCAGGGCGTTTTGTTCGCCCGCCCGGGTAATCGAGCCCGAACCGTAGGCACCGCTCGTCCCTCTTCGCCGCCACGACCCCGGGCGTGTACACCGCATTGCTTATTACCGTATTGTTATTGCGTACCCGATAATATTTCTCGTTTTTAATCGTAATATTCGATTGTCAGTAATTATTTTCATTATTATTGCGTTGCGTGCGACCGCCGTTCTATCGGCGTGCCAACAATATTAATTAGCGTTTTTAATCGTAATCTCAACACTCGCGGAAATCGCCGTTACGTTGTTAATTGGCTCGACCGGCCGCCCGCATTCGATTGATGTAGAGACCGATAAAAATCATATACGCAGCGATTGGACGAGCGACTGGCGCAACATAAAAAGTGACTGGTCGCTCTTTGCGCACGTTTTCGCGCCCTAACCCAACCTAACCTAATGATAACGATTCGTCCGCCGTTGCGTTCTTGTACCGTATCAAACATAACCTAACCTAACCCAACGGCAAACCCGTAAACGGTATAAGAATATATTTTTATCGAAACCTAACCCCTGAACCGGCGGGGGGCGTTGCTGTTGCCGGCGCGGGGCCGCGCGTATCCCGTTCCCGCGCACCGTCGCCCTCTACCAAAGCATCCGTACCCACAGGTTACGTTTTTCGCGCTGCGACGGCCTTATGAGCCCCGCCGCGGATTTCGAGTTCATTTTGCGAAATAATTATATTAATTAAACAATATTACAGACAGTAATACACACACACACACACACATATGTGTATACACTCTAAAAACAAACGAAATTCCAATGAATTTCCCCAATCACTTTCCGGTATTGGACAAAACGGGTTCGTTTTTTGATTTCTCTACATAACGGTATTTTTTAGTATTCAGTTCGAGTCATGTGTGTGTGCCGTGGACGTAATCAATCGCTGAGCAATGTAATAGCATTAGTGATTTCCTGCGGTATTATATATTCGAGCAGAACGCGGCCTGCGATTCTTATACAAATTTCCCGAAGCCCCGTGGATGGAATTTCAAACCGTCTCGGGTTATTCAATCGCGGAAAAATAAATTGACCGGCCGTATACGTACGTATAGGTATCGAATGTCGAGTTCAAGGAAGCTGGGTGAACAATAACGCGCGTAAACTTGTTTGTACAATGAAGGCCATAGACATTTTTCCGGAATAGGTCGAATAAATTCAAAACGAATATAGTTCAATGCAAGAAAAAAAAAAAAATATTTTTAAAAGTCGGTACAGGAGACGTGAGAAACGTTTCTCTCCCGTCCCTTCACCAACTAAAAGAAGGCCCAAACAAATTCGAATTTTTTATAACGTGCAGGATATTCTAAAGTCTTAAAAAGTTGCAGCAATATTGGAAAACTCGATTGTTTAAAAAGCGCGGGGACGAGTCGCGTGACAATTATTGATAGGGTACGGTTTTAAATCAACGTGCATTTTTGTGACATTTTCAAAGTGCTTATATGTTTTATTAGGTTTTTATATTTTGTTGTTGTTAAAAACGCACTTAGGTGGTTCAACATTTTATCTCAAGGAATTTCGTTTTCATTATGTAATATATGTGTTTTTTTTTTAGGTGTTATTCAAAAAAAAAAGATTTATTCGACCGATCTATTTACGATATTGTTTGTATCCTGTGTGTATTAACGACTGTCGTACGTCACCCGCACTCAAACAAAATGCAACAACTGTATTATGCATTTCGCGGGTTTTCTGTTTTCGGAGCATTTTAGCGACGGTTCAGTAGTATGCACATATCGGTGGTGTTTTGTTGTAAGAGCGCATGCCACTTACAGTCTTACAGTCGAATAAATACGCTTTTGGTATCAAAAAAGTTAAATTAGTCGGTATACTAAGTCGGTAATGTCCAGTAAAAGATATCCAGGCGCCATTTTAAAATATAATCAAATCAACGCTGATTTGTTGAAAGGGCGTATACCGCATTCGATGCGTACATATACTTTGTGTACAAACGTAATTTATAGGTTTACGAGTAATTTTATTGTTTTCCGCGACAAACATTATTAAAAACTGTTTCGATGGTTTTTTTTTTTTATTTTTTTTTCGCTCCTTGAAATTTGATAGACGCCCCTTTTAGCAAAACGCCGCCGACACGGACCCGAGTCCCGTTTGATCGTATACGATACGTCATGATCGTGTAATGCCGAATAATTGCAGTTGTTTTACGCGATGAGACTATATATGTATGTATGTGTTACTGCAGCAGTATTATTATTACAATATTATCGGCGAACCTCTCGCGCGGTTTGGTCGTATTCCAAACGGTCTGCTTTTCGTTTTTAAACTTTCGGCGGGCCCGTCGTCGTGTACGCATAAAATATGTTGTTTTACACACGCCGAGCTGACGTTGGACCGGATCCAAAGCTCTGGTTTGCGTTTGTGCCGACGCTGACGCTAACGCCGACGATAGGTATGCCCGCGGATCCTCTGCGGTAAACGTCTAAAAATGAAATACTACGAACAATGCCGAGGGTATAATTATTTTTTTTTTTTTTCTCTATCATTTACGCGCCGACGACGAGATCCCGTGCGTCAATGTTATTGTTATTCGTCCCGGGTTTAACGATTTGTACGCAGATCAAGTTCGTCAACTGCGGGCGCGCGTCCGCCGCCGCTTTGGAGAAAAACAAAAAACTTCAAAAAGACGCCACGGTTATAATCATTACTATAGTGCAATTATATATAGCCGCTCACCGTGTCGTGTACAGTGTCGCGGCGGTTGTGTTTTACGCCTTTTCCCGGAATCCCTGGCCCCGGCAAGCGAAATGCCGATATCCGTTGTAATTAAATCCGATAGTATTGTAATTGACGACGATAATCGAACGTTTCACCCGCGATCCGTCTTCGTCCGCCGATCACCAAAAAAAAAAAAAAAAAAAACGAATTAATGTACGAGTGTTATTTTGATTATCGTGCGACCGTTACCCTCCGCCCAATATCGCATAAACAAATAACTAGACGACGGCATTCCGTACGAACGTAATAATATTCTGTTATGATAATAATAATGTAATCGGTTTCGATTTTTAGAAAACGTTACTGATACACACTGTATTCATTGTGTTGTACACAATGTTATCTCGGAGTAATTATCAGTATTGTGAGTTTGGAAAAAAAAAAAAAAAAATGAAAATTAATTCTAATTGATACGGGACACGTTATTATTGTAATATAGAGATCCCGTATACAATACAACGAATACTATTTCGTGCATTATATTTCAAAGCGAATGATTTATGGGGGTTTAAAATTGTCAAAACATTTTTACTTAGAGGTACCTATTGATTTTGTTCGTCGAAATCGCGGACAAATCGAATAAATACAAAATATGTTCGAGGAATCGATAACAAATATACATGGCTATTTTTTTTTTCTCCGTCGAAAATAATAATTCAATTACCGCCCAATTTAATATACACATACAGGGCGATCAACATCACTCGTTATCTCGGAGGGTGTTGATGTTTTTTAGAACGTTTAAGAAACGAGCGGATCTACAATGTTGAATTTCCGCGATTGACTGTCCCCCTGGTTTTCGGGCCGCCAATCGTTTTTGATTTTAAAACAGCAACCTAATATTGTAATATAAAAATTTCACATTAAGTAGGTGAAATTTAAGTTCGACTTAAAAATGCGCGTCGTCATATTTTTAGACATTTCGAATATAGGTCACTGTTTGAGAAATTTGAACGGACAGCGATTTCACCCCCCTCCCCTCCTCCAAACGAAGGTGGCGAAAATGTAACATACATTTCAATGCCGCGCTTGTCTCTAAAATGTTTTAAAAGACAAATTTCGATAGAACTCGACGCTTTCCGAAATAACGAGTGTTTTACGTTATGTCGATCACCCTGTATGTGTGTGTGTGTGTGTATACATGCGAGTATAATACAGTGTATAATAATAACGTGTTTACAATCGTTTTAATCGGTACAATACGAGTTCGATTTGAATAGGATTTAGCGCAAAACGTTTTGAACGACGACGGTCGATTTTAAACCGAACTTGACCTTTTTATAAACGATAATAATGTTGTACCATATTATTATTATCAATTATATATTTGTCACCGCCGATAGCTCGTTATATCAATTATTATTATTATTATTATTCTATACCCGTACATTGTATAATATTTTTTTTTTTTCTAAAACGCAATGAAGCGAGCACGGTCAAACGCTATCTGCGCGATATTTTAGACTACGTCAATTTATAAACGTTTATCCGTCGCGTTACAAGAAACGTGACGTCCTTCTTCTTCACATTCGGGAAAAAAAAATAATTTTTCGACTTAACAGCAGAGTTTTGTTACCGTAGACAGGTCAGGTACCCTTTATATAATAATAATAATAGTATCGAGTTAATCCAATGGTTAAAAAATAATACATTTCGGCAACGGCGGAGAAATATTGTGAAAAACAGATCTTCCACTGTTGTCGGTTTGAACGCGAAAAACAAAACAAATTAAAATCCAAAACCGCGAAAAATCGCGTTTAATTACCGTGAGGGGGAGGGACGATATATAGAAATATGAATACTTCCCAGGTAGGTATACCGATAAGGATAACTGAAACCCGGTGTGTATAAAAAAAAAAAAAATCGCTTTGAATCGACTAACGTTCGCGCGAACAAAACGCGTACAGTTTCGACGACTACCGGTCGCGTTTGTGGCTGGGCGGCGTGTAGCGTGTGTACACGTGTGGTGTGCAACTCCATTCATACAACGCGAACGGGTCCCGTAGTATTATAATATTATTATCGTACGCGAGATGAAAGAAAAAAAAAAAAAGAGAAATTTAAATTTTTTTATAAACGTCACGACCGAGAACCCCACCGAGACTTGTAGCGTATATGCACACGCGATCGTAACGCGAGTACACCTGTGTAATATAGAGAAATTTCAAACGGAAAACAAATATAATAAACAAATAATATAATATTCGGCCGAAACAATGAACGCGTGGGGTAAAAGTACACGTCATAATATTTGCGTTTATATAATATATAAGAAATCATACATTTTAAGAGTTGTCGCGTGATTGTCGTGGCCATTTAAAGAACGATAACACGAATCAAACGTTAAATCGATAATCTCGAAATTCTCGATAAAATTGTGTGTCGCACACGCCAGTCCGATTTGTTTGTTTATTTTTTTTCCATTCCGAGTATACCGCTCCGTTTTAAAAAATGCAAAATGTTTAAAATCGCATCGTCGAATTGAGAATAAAACAACCTTTTATAATTTAAGAGTTTCCCTTTATTTTTAGAATTTAAAATGTTTAAATCGGCATACTCCGGTGTATTTTTCATACATTTTAGATTCTGAATGTATTAATTTTGTAAAGAGGTTTCTTTTTTTTTTTTTTTTTTTTTTAAGGGGAAAACTTTTCCTACCATACAGAGCGTACTCCTCCGATTATCAAGTTAACACCTTTTCCGAATGGAAATGTTCACTGGATGGTACTACTTGAGACGGGTAATTTTTTTGAAATTCTCATAAATATTCGAGATAATGAGGAAAACCTAGGTCTTTAGGTTAAAAAAGATCGAAAGATTAGAACTATAAGGCTTTTGGTTCAAAACATCTGTTTAAGCGAAAAAATATTCCACGGTTTACGAATATGTACCTGTAAGGAGTGAAAAACCGGCGTTTTTACTAGGACGCACCACACACGGCGAGACACACTGTACACATCGTGTTGCGCGCATCGTGGTGTTGTTCGACGACTGTGGCGCGCCCGAGTAATAGCAGCTGCGACGAGACGACTATTATCGGTACGCGCGGCCGTCTCGCGCAATTAAAATAATAAATAATAATATAAAACGGAGATCGTCCGGTCGCCGCGAGTTTCGTGCCGTAGAACGAAAACGGGGGGGAAAAAAAAATACTACAAATTTCATCTGGGAGGGGAGTAGTGGGAACGAGCAAAACGACGTCGATTGCCGACCGATCGCCAAACGTGTTTTCGTAGCGTATTTTCTTCGCGCAATTTCTTCTTCTTTTTTTTTTTTTTTATTTTCCTCTAACGTCTATAAAACGCTACCTACCGACAATACCGAACGCGTAAAGTATTCGGTGCGAATCACGCAGCGCGCGACGTCTGTGTACGCGCGGTCGTTATTATTCGTCGCATCGAAAAATACTTTTCCGACATTCCGCGGCCGAGATGGCGAAAAATCCGCATAGTTCCGCCACGTCCGTCCGTACAATGCCATTCGGGTTTATGTATCCGTCGTTTTGCCGCCGTTTTCGACGAAACCAGAACGCGTACGTAAAATCGGAGAATGAAAATTGTATTTTTAGCGCCCCCCCCCCGCGCGTGTGTGTGTGAAATACCGTCGGCAAGGTCATTTAAATTTCACTAAAGGTTCTTGTTTTAATATAATTTCACGACACTTTTTCCGCGGATCAATGTTTCGCCGCACGTATAACAAGCTGCTCATCTCGACCGTAACGAACGATAAAAAGTTCAACAAAACGGTTCTCCGTGAACACTCCGGAAGAAAGTCGAACACAATTCCATTTGGCGACCGGTTCCGTTAGCGCCCGGCCGGTTCTATTTCCATTCGGGTTGTTCGCTCGTATTTTCGTACCGTTTACGGTGCGAGGAGTTCCCTCGGAAAACGACCGTCCCGACTACGCGAACGCGGCGTCGTCGCGGACAGATACGCGGGGCGTCAATATAACAGTCGCCGGGTAAAAATTGCCGGTTTTCGCGGGTCCCGTTGCGGCCCGACCGCCACCCGACGACCCGACGGCCGGTTCGGTTTTCGCGCGTTGTCGCCAGCGTACGGCGAGATCGGTTGGCGCGAGCACGGGAGAAACGCGCGCGACACCGCGGCGGCCGCGTTTTCCGACGGCGAAAATCCTCCGGGTCCGACCGCGCGCCGTTATCGTATTCTTCCCGTCGTGCGCGCCGATTTCTCCAAAGTCACTTTTCGCCGCCGTCGCACGGAACGATAAAATATTACGAACGAACTGTAGGCCCGACACGTCGGCGGCGGCGGCGTCGGCGGCGGAGTGGACGTCCCGCGCGGTAGTCGGCGACGCGATAATATTCCGGCGGTATTTCCGCGACGGCGGACCGGGTGTTTTTGATGCCGCGGTGCCGTCGAAAGTCTTCCGGATTCCCGTCCGGCGGACGCGTTAAAGCCCATGGCCGTGTTCAATGACGCGCGGCTGACTGCGCCAAAGCAACCGGACAGACGTGGAGGAATGCATTATTATTGTTGTCGGTCGCGAAAACAAACGAGTATCCCGGCGTGTTTCGCGGCGCCCGTCTGTTTCGAATTTTCGAAAACGTATTGTTTTTTTTGTTTTTCGCGGAATTCGGGCGTCATCGCCGACGGTGTCGGTCCACGGCCGTCCTTCCGGCGAGTGTACAATATTTCGACCGCCGATATAAATGGAAATGTCTTCCGGCGAGAGGTTCGCGACGCCCGCGAAAAGCCGACCGCATAACTAACGATCCGAAGTAGAAGAAAACAAATTGGAATTGTCGACAAGTGGCGTGTAAAACCGACCCAGGCCGCGATAAACGAATCCGCGTCTTCGTATTTTTCTCACCCGCCAACAAACCGTTCCCCTACAATAGGACCGGTCCTATTCTCCAATCGTATATAATATTATAATAACCTCAACCCTATCCGACCACGTTTTACCGGGTCTCCATCGGGGTTTTTTTTTTTTTTTTTAATCCGTATTGCCGGGTTTCGAATTCGCATAACTACTGTTGTGTCGTGTTTATCATTTTTACGCGTATAAAGCGTTCGAGCCATTGCAATAACTTTTACCCCGTGCACTGTGACCGCGTCTACCGGGCAGCTGCCTCCTCAGAGAATTCTCGACGATTTTCAGGTATACGGTAATTTTTAAAACACTTTCTTCGAATTTGTTTGGCCTCTGCTACACCGAGACATTCAACGCGTTGTGTTTAAGGGCGAAATCTCCGAAAACGGCAACCGAGCCGAACGATTTCGCGACAAAACTGGCGTACGCCGGGTAAACGATATAAGTTAGGGGAAAAGAGGAAAGTATACAGGGAACTGAGCAAAATTTGAAAGCTTGACAAATGTTGATATGGGTGCATTTTGTTTTTCTTTGAGAGTACGACGTTTCGTTCTCTTTACGAGAAGAACCCCCCTATCCCTTTTTCTTTTGCTCGTCGAGTACTGCGTATAGTTATTGTCGTGATATTTTCTTATCGCGTCCGGCGGACGACAGGGAAAATCGATTCGACGCGAACGAGATCTCTCGGCTGACGAGACGCGGACCAACGGCTGGCGGGCGACGAAGGGGAGAGGGAGAATGGATATGGTAATTATTGTTGTTGTTGTTATTATTATTATTATAGTACTGCTACAACGCGACGGTGGCCTTGTAATAATGTATTGCTCCGACCAAGAATGCGGTACACCGAGGAGTCGTCGCGCGTACAACCGGCGGCGGCGGCGGCGGCCTTACACCTCGATCCGAGCGTATCCACCGCGGGCTCCCCTCTCGTCGACTATAAATAATAAAAATAATATTTCGTGCGGGTCGGCTGTACACATTCGTACACATTATTACTCTATGATACACACGCGCACACGGGCGCGCGCGCGCGCCTGCACGTTGCGTGCCGCCACCGTACCCATTTTTTTTTTTCCATGCCGGGGTCTGCTGTCGCGCGTACCGCACACCGTATACGCGTACCCTCCGTCCCCCGCCCCGCCTGGCTGTACCGTTTTTCTCGCGCGACGAATCCGTTTCGCCGATTTTCCGCCGTCGGTTATCGGCACGCTCATTAGCGTCGCGCGGCGCTGGCGTGTTTATTGTGCGCCCGCGCAACGATATTCGCGCGTGTTTTCTGTACGCGCGCGCCCCGTCCAATCGCAACGTCCCCTGTGCAATACCGAGTTGCGACGACGACGCAATAATAATTGTTCGTCAATATTATACGAACGGTAATCGTTTTAAACGGCAAGCGCGACGCGTTCGCGTGTTATATTTTTACCGTAGCGTTTCGTCGTGAACGCCGTTTTCGAAGTCACCGTCAAATCGGGAATTCCGGACCGTTATATATTTCGTCACGGGCGATAACAGAATTATTGTCATTATTGTTATTATTTCCCCCCCCCCCCCCCCTTCTAAACGATGCGTTACGTTCAATATTATCCGGACGACAACGATTGGCCGTTATAACGAAATGCCATCAAAATGGTAATTTATTAACGGATACCCATAAAAATATCGCGCGCGTAACTATTAATCGTTGAGGACGCGTGATGCGCAATCGATTAAATTCGAATTGGCCCGTAGCGGCACCGGCCACCCGGACTTCCGACCCGTATCGGTACGCGCCGGCCCCGGCGTACGCGTTTTTTTTTTGTTTTTTTTTTTCGGATATCGCGCGGACGCGTCGTTCCGTGCCATAATGATAACTAAACAGAATATACGATACCGCCGACCGCGTACCGTTATTATTGTATCATTCTAGTTGTGCTGCAACCGTCAAACGTGCGTAATTATGCCGTAGCACAATGACTACGACGTGTCGTCAAACGCGCGTCCGGACTTCGGAAATTTCGACCGCCTGTAGTATTGGCGTTTGTACCGCGTCCCCGGCGATGTCGTACCTCTCGCACTACACCGTTGACCGGTGTGACCGATCGGAGTGTGACGTACGGGAAAACTCAATCGTTTTCGTCGCCGTTTTCTTATATACATGGCATGTTACTCGTCGTAATGTTGGTTTTGACCCGGATCTTTGTGCGAAAATGTGCAACAACAAGCGCGCGGACGGTTACGGCTTCGATGTAACCAAGTGCAGCACCTTTTCCGAATAGCGATTTCGTCCAGTCGATACCTTACCTAAAGGTCATTTTACGATTTTCATTATGATTGGGAAAAACTGGGACAAAACGTAGGAAAACCCGATACATTTATGAAAACAATGATTTTATTTTTTTTTTTTCGGCTGTAATTCAGTTATAAATTTTCGTAGAGACTTTAAACGTGTACATAAAACTCATATTTGCCTTTCCTAGACGCGGTAAAATTTTCAAAACATTTGAGCCATTTTCAAGCTATTTATAGACATTCACATTTCGCGAGATTTTTACGTAATTTGTATTCGATAAGTACTGTGTAGATAAAATTGTACGATCAAATAGAAATGCTTGAAAATTTAACAGGAATTTCATTTCAAGTTATATCTAATAATCAACAAGATAAATTTGAGTTTAATGAAGTATTTTTTTTTAAATTTTTTTTTTTTATAAGAATTTCAATATCAATTTTTGACGAAAATCGTAAATATTACGGCCTTTCAACACATGTACAACCGAATTTCACTCAAAATCGTTTTTCGTTTCATACACAGATATAAATTAAATTCTCTTATATATTCTACCCTCCCAAATTCTCACCTACAACAGTGGTCCACCCATCGTGCGAAGTATGTCCGATTTTCTTTATCTTTTTAATAAAATACTGCAGCGAGTACCGAGATTATAATATGGTGCGGAAATATAATTGTCTAGAGGATATTTTCAATTTACCTTCCTGAAAATAGTACGCATTCAATCGTCATTATTGTACCAGCAAAGACGATTCCATAATAGACTATACAAGAAAATATTGTAAATCGCCAAGATAATAAACCGACAGAAATAAATGATGTTTCGCTATTTTTTTTCGTGATTAAGAGGCGCCACGCCCGCGTATTCTGTCTCGGTTTAACTAACGGGCAACATAACGCAACTATGTTAATTAGATTGTTGATTGAGGTGTTTAGGTTGAACTGACAGTTTAAACACCAATAACAAAATTTAAAGACGGGAATATTTTTCCGCAGCTGTACGCGCCATTTTTCCTACAAAATTGGCACATGAAAAAAATTAAAGCTATTAAAATCAACTCGGCTATAACTTTTTTTTTTTAATGATTAGCCCTTGAAAACATTTCACTTTTTAAATTTTGGTATTTGTATTTAAAACTCCACATTTTCACCGAAACGCCACAATACTTAATCACAAGTCACATGATTTCGTTATGCAGTCGGACTGAGACAGACTGTACTTTTTTCCCCCGCTTGCATTTGACCGGATACCCTAACCTGACCCTAACCTACCCTACCCAATATAACAACCCTCGAATACATTATTTCGCTCGCGTTCGCCAAAATAATAAGTACCGAACCGATACTATTACTATGAAATTAATAAAACATAATAATGCCATTATGGATACGTTTCTGGTTTCGGTTTTATTCCGAATGGGCACTCGATACGAGTAGTGGGTAGAATATTTCATATTGCATAATATTAATATAATGCTCGCCACGCGTAAAAAAACAACAATAATATTATATCGCTCCAATAAAAATTTTCGAATATTGTTTTTTTCGATGGCGTGTAGCGTATTATAATAGGTGTAGCAGTATAGCGTGCGGAGAATATTATTATTATTATTATTATTACGATATTATGTTGTGCATCGTCCGGGCAGATGGTTTCAATACAAAGTCTATAACGCGATTTCTATTAAAACTATATGTACATTAAATATTTATAAAAAAAAAAAAAACTAAGTGCGTTGTTTATACGATAAAAATGTCGTGGCGAGATATCGGATTTTACGACTTACGGGCCCACGTCGGACGAGAAACCCTATCGCGCACATAATATCATCGAGTTTTTTTTTTTTCTTCCAAACAGATCCCCGCCGGAAGTCCATCTGTTTATTCGGAGGTAGGAGGTACATCGGACATGATATAATAATAATATCGTCGCCGTGTAACGTAATGGTAAACACGAGCTTGGAATCGATTTCTAAAAAAAAAAAGAACCGTTTTTTTTTTCTACTTTATTATTCGGATATATTCGTTTGTTTCTTTATTTTTCCATCAATGAATCGCTTACGCTCGTACACTGTTATACGCGCGCGCGCGCGCACATATATTCGCGCACAGTGTGTCGTAAGGATTGTTTTTTTTATAATCGATTCGTCTACGGCCGCGGAAATTCCTCGACGGCGGCGACGCACTCTCTCCTTCCGTCTCCTCCTTCCACCGAAACGCACACATTACAATAATAATGATAATACCACTTCGTAAGCACGAGCACACACCGCGTATAGAATACGACGATGACTCGTGTAAAAAAAACCAAACACGCACTTTCACCCGTCGCGTTCCCGGGAGTCCGCACGCCGCAGTCCGTCCGGTTCGGAGTGTACGATAATAATTACATGTATAGGTAGTAGGTATACGGCCACTTATTGTCCGCGATCAAAACGAATTTAAAATATAAAGTTATCGACGGTGGCGAGACTTTTGGTGGAAAAGTCGTTTACAGACACGGGTGGGGGGGAAAAGCACATGTCGTGGTAAAACCAATATGGTACATTTCTCGCTTCACTCTGTAGTATCCAAAATAAAATAAAAAAACACCCGTGAGCATCAGCAGTGGCCCGTCACTTTTTTTTTTTCAGATTAGAATATTTGCAACTCCGCCTATTTCGCATTGTGTACAGAAATATTCTTTGTAAAACAATAAATCGCCTATTATTTATACGGCTACTATTTTAATAATACTATACGTTATACGCGCTACTTCCGAAGAATAATAGTGAAATTTGACCGCAAAAATGATTAGGAAAGTTAGTTGAAACTCCCAATAGGTATACGTCCTTGATACTGTCGCCATATGCGCACAAAATTTCATCCCTCGGACTTCGTTTGGGGGCCTTTGTACAGCGGCGTTCAAAGGTAGAAAAAACACCCATCTTGCGCAACAATAAACGTGTTGAAATTCAACCTAAATTTTATCACTTATAACCGCATACAAAACAAAATCTTTTATCTATTATCTAGTTAATTTCGGTTCGATTTATCTTTTATCTTTGACTAGATTCGTTTTAATTATCTATGTCTCAACTGTCAACACCGGTCCAGAGTAATGTATGAAAGTAATAGGATACAATATATAATATACACATATATGACGGACACAAGACAAATAGTCTCTATTTCCGGGAAAAATCAAACTAAAAACCTACGTATAAGAAAAAAAAAATATTTAAATATATTTTGCAATTGTATATTATTACACAATTCGCATGCACATGGACTCACCTAAAAGGATTTCGACTCGTTCTCTGTGGCTTGCGCAAGAACACCACACGACATTATTTGTTCAAGCTAGTGTTTTTTTTTTTTTCTATACTCGTTACTAAATAGAAATATTAGTTTATCAACAAATTAAATTTAATATTATGCGTCTCACTCGAAAACATTTAATATTATTAAAAAAAAAAAAAAAAAAACCTGATAATTAAAAAAAATATTATTCTACTATTTGTCTTCAGTGGTTATACGAATTATTTTCAGGAGAGTTTATACATACCCAAGTATATTACGGTAGTGAAATCTTTTTGAGCAAGATCACTTTTTAGAGCAGTTTACAATAATATTACGTACACATCGTGTCCAGCGTAACAGTAATACGAGATGGTCAGCTGACCGACTATAAAAGGTACGAGCGGTCAATTGTATCTACCGGTCTCGTTCGAATAATAATTTTATACGAATAGGTATTTGAGATAACATCGTCGTAATAATCGGTCTCGGTTTTTTTTTTTTTTTACGATTGTTATTTATTTAATTTTTTTATTTACGGAATTAGGTGTACGGTTTAATAATATAAATAATGCAGTTATTATCTCGTTTATCGGCCGTATTCCGCGTATAAGGTCTTTATATTTATTTTTTATTCTAGAAAATCGCATTTACGTGCACTTTATCGCGAGATAAAAACCAACTCGCCTGTATACGTTAAAATCATATTGTCCAAATCGTATAAATAATTACAATAATATTATACACGCAATACGATAATAACGTTATTAATAACAATTATTATTGTTATACGCACTCTCGTTAAACAATATTATGATTATTGATAAAACTGCTACGGTATATTATACGCCAACGTGTTTTGTTTGTTTTACACGGACAATGATAAAAAAAACCTCACGAAAATAGTACCCGTCTTATATCTCTCTCTCTCGCTCTACGTTATAACTATTTATAGGTATACAGTGTACCTACGAATACAATTGTTGAGGTATTACTCACGCATTCAGTAGTAAAAATAAGTATACGTATTATACATACGTTACAATACAATTGAATCGTGATTTTTGTCGGGCGAAATGTCTCACCCTGCAACCGCACACCCGGCGCGAGCCTATGGCTAGTTAGGAGGCGCGGAGGTCCGAGAGTTTCCGGAGCGACGAGCCGGTTCTGAGGACCGCAAGCACCGCGGAACCCCCGAAAACAACGGAGCCTCCGCGCACCAATGGGTTAGGGCCGAGCGCCGCCCATCCCTTCGGTGTGATGTCCGCCCGCCGATAGACTGAGCGGGCGCCGGAGAGAGACACGCCGGTTCGCGGCCGAGGCTGCTTGGCGACGCCGTTCGACCTGGAGCCGTCGTCGAGTCAGCATGACCCGTAACCACACGGTCGCTCCAGTGACGGCCGCCGCGAAACCCGGCCAAGACCGGAAGCCGGCCGTCGCCCCGAAATGCTCGAGACAGATCGGGGGCTCCCGTCATCCCGCGGTACCAGCCACAGCACCGCTGGCGGGACGCTCGACCGGGAGCATCGTCGGGTCGTAGCCCCCCCGCTGTCGGTCTTCCCGGATTTGGGCGGCATCCCCGAGCTCTGGGTAGGCTCTCTTACATATTATAATACAGTCGACACGCGGAAACTGCAGTTTTACAAAGTCATTATCACATTAAACGGGTGAGCGATCGAGGCTTAGTATCGCGATTGAACGGTCCGCGATTTTGCCGTAGATGACGAAGACGCGGATGGGCTGTTGGATCTTTTATCGGACGGTCGGTTTTCGAATTGTACCCCGGACGGCAAAACCAAAGAGGGAAGAACAAACATCGCGTGGGCACCCCGCGTGAACACTGTCGTAACTGTATGAAGACGTGTCTCGTCCCATTTCAACGTTGTATCTACGCATTCCGTGTACTCGGATAAAAAAAAAAAAAAATCATCAAACCTGACAGTATTATAGTTTATAACATATTGTTCGAGACGAAACGCCATTATAAATTTTCGCTTAAAATTTAGGTTGTTTTGTTGCGAAAAATGTTGTCGAAACGCGTTATGAACGATAACAGGTACCCGAGCGCCCATTCGGCGGGCACGCCATAGAACTGCGCAATTACGTTCTATGATTACAGTTCGATCCAGTGTGTATCCAGTTGTAATAACCACGGTCGCGCATTTCATTACGGATAACAGGTCAACCGATCAGAATATATGATTACAATTTTACGGATTAAAAATAATAGTTTTAGCAAAACGGCGACCGAAGAAAGTCTGATCGCGTGCACGCGCGTACGGGTACGGCCGTAACGATATTATAATAGAGAAAAAATGCGTGTAAAAATGCGTATCCCTATCCGTTTTATACTATACGCGCCTAATTGCCGCGCGCGCATAATTATAAATCATTTACGATTCACAAAATATTACGTACGTGCACACGGAGAATATTATCCGGCTGTGGGTTTTTTTTTTTTTTGCTCTCCTCGTAAAACGGCTCGTCGCCAGTGACCTATATATATGTATGTATGTATACGATAATAATAATACCGTCGTAGAATAATTGCACCGCGCGCGCACGTTGGACACTCGCGCCGTTCGTCCGCGCCTGTTCCGAGCAATAACGTACCGCAATGATGTACTTTAGAAATTTTCAGTCTTGACTCGGGGTCGGACGTTATCGCGAGACGGACGATTGTCGCCGGTACGGGTAACCCCGAAAAACCTTAACCCCGTACTAATATTGCGCACCGTATCAATTGTACGTTCGGCAGTCGAGATTATTTTTAATTTAGGCGTATTCGGGTTGAGATACGTAACCGTTCTAACATATTTTTTGTACGCCGTCACCAAAAACAATTTCAATCTAAATAACAATGTAGGTAATTGTGCGGGTTTGTGTGTTTGAAAAAAAAAGCCGCCGCCGCCGCCGCCCCCCTCTCTCTCTCTCTCTCTCTCTTGCCAGCGAGGTCCGCACGCATCATAATCAATAATTATCGTTTTTAAACAGTGTAAAAACGTATTTTTCTCCCGGCAGTATTGTACAGTCGATTCTTACGCGTACGCAGTTCCCGTGTACGCGGTGTACCTATCACGCGAACAAGTTACAATCGGATTTTATCGGCGAACAAACGCTAAATGATAAACCGTAGTTCAACTCCTCGTTGTATATCCGAATAAATGTTTACTCTCACGCGCCTAGCCGATAAGCGTCATTATATTATTGACGTGAATAACACTAAAAATATCAAACAATATTAAATTAACGTTCGAAAACGGTGATTATTTCAGTCCGCCGGACGCGGACCACAAGGATTCGTCGTGACATAATTTAAAGAATTTCGAATACGAGTGTGTTTTACGAAGAAAAATTTAACAAAATGTACTGAATAACAACGCGTTTTTCCGAATAAAACATGTTAAAGACGAGAAACCGAAGAATTCAAATGTGTTTTCGAAATTAAAATTGCGGACAAGCGGTAGCGAGTGAATTTTACTCCGGCCCATTTCGATCTAAAACGGTTATGTTCGTCGTCCTCAAACGTCCCACAAACGGACGCCCGGGCAATGGGTCGGCGGAGGAAGCCTTTGTTTATAAAATGTGATACATAATTTTCGAATATTACAAAATATTTGGAAACGCCTTTCCGACCCCCACGGGGATACATGCGTTTCGTTTGGATCGCACGAATTAACGAATATCTCTCGCGATTTATCCGTTTTCTCCGGATCGTTTCAAAACGCCGACAAACTAAACTGTACACAAAAACAACGATCACCGATCGCGGTCGAAACCGTATAATATATTAATTACCGTCGGGGTCTCTTGTGATGTCCCGTTTACGCAGTTGATATCGCAATCTAATATGTAAATATATATATTTATGTATATCTTTTATTTTTTTTCCGAAATCATCGGTTATTAATAACGTTATTATAATCTGAAGACGGCGAGGACATTGAACAATCGATAAGCCCCGCAATCGCGGTAAATATTAAATAACGGCGACGCATCTGTCGTCTGTATCCGCGTCTTATCGACATTTTTAATAAAACGAAATTTCGTCCGCGCGTCCCCGTAACGGCCGTCTCGCGTCGTATACAAAATCATAAAAATGTTACCGAATGTCCCGATAACGTCGAAATTAGTTCGTTATTGTTTTTTTTTTTTTTTTTTTTTTTTTTTTTTTAATACGGCAAGACGCGTCGCGATTAATTTATATTATGTGCGCGTCGTGGACCCGTCCAGCAATTTCCGAAATTGCGGTTTCTGGCCGAGATTACGGCCGGGCGAACGTTGTTAACATTGTTGTATTATATACAAGTCGAGTATAAATATACCGTGTGTATATATATAAACATTAAGTAGGACGTGGCGATATTATTTTTACGACGGAGAAAAAAGTGAGAAAAATCGTCGAAGTTTTCGCAGCGAGACAAACAAACGACCTACCCGTCCAATTAATTCGCGCGAGCCGGTCGTACGAAAACTAACTATACTTATTATAAAGTATCTCCTCTCTCTTTTTCTCTCTCTCTCTCTCTCTCTCTCTCTCTCTCTCTCTCACTCGCTATGTATGCGTTTTCTGATATTTTTCTCGTAAAACTCTGAAAACCGCTCGTTTGTCGCGTCGGCCGGCCGTAAAAATCCGGACCGTTTTGTCCGTTTTGCAAGCGCCGAACAGTCCCCGCCGGGATGTTTTCGTCGTAAATTTCGGCGTTAAAGCTTCGATCGTTTTAAAATAATTATTATTATTATTATTTTGTCGCCGAGTCGGTAAAGCCGTTGAACTGTCGTCGCCATCGCCGCGCCGCCGCCGCCGTTATTTTTATACATTTTCTCGGAGAGGTCGCGCGACCCGGTCGGCGACGGACCGTCGTCATAGTCTCAGGAAACCGCTCGCGCCCGATCATACCGTACTAAAAGCACGCGTATAGTTCAACGTTTATTATAAAAAAATGTTTTAAAAAAAATTGTCGTTGTATATACAAAACCACAATGATAATACGCTCGTACGCGTAATTTGGCGATTAACGATGGTTGACAATTTGCCCGGACTAAATTGTTCGTGGTTTCGTGCGCCAAAACGCACAAATCGCACCGGCGGCGTTCGACGGCGACGACACGCGTAATATTTTTAGACGATTTTCTCGACAATATATCGCCACATAATCATATTACATATATCAGATCGGTTGTTAGTCAAAGGTTACACGGATCGGATATCCCGTGTGATTGCGCGGTTTTCGACATCATATATACACGCGATTTGGATTGCGATCCGTGAACTTGTGTGTATAGCGTCTGCGATAGGCTGAAGGTTAGGTTTGTCTAGGGTGAATTAGACTTGAATATCAAAAGCCTGTTGAATTAAATACCGCGCCCGTTCTTATATCCCGATCAATTCCCGAAATACGTTTTAAAAATTCCTGTTATTATTGATTAATTTGAAAATAAGCCAAAGTAAAATACTAACGGTGAAATACGCGTTTAAAAATTTTGTGTACGACAACCGGCGGCCTGCGCTGTATAATATTGTCTGTACAAAACACATTTTGGTATTATCACTTCGACATGCAAAAAAAAAAAAAAAAAAAAAAAAAACACCCGAACGCTACAAGTGGACATAGCTCTGGATATTATAAATATTACGCGCACGCGATCGCCACTGCAGTTACCCGGATGACGCGGGAAAAAGAGAAAAACCAAAATGTCACCGCGTGACTCGTCCGAATAGATGGCGTTTAGAGTGTTCACTCGGATGCAGTGGTGTATTTATGGAGGGGGAAACATGGGGGATAGATATTCTTCTTAACCTTAAAAATATGAGTTTAAACTGTTTACAAATATTGTATGTGATTTGCGATTATGATGGACTAGACTAAATGGGTTAGCTTTGCTGTTTTGGTGAAAACACGTGAAGTTTTCAATCAGTTTTGCATAAAAACAGAAAGCTAGAAAATTGATTTTTTAAATTCATTAAACAGAGTATCAGAATATAAATACTATTATGTTCATTGTCAATAAGTCTTAAGCTTACAGAAGCTGAACCCAATTTTATTTGGAAGATTATTTACGGGAGCGATAAGAACATTCGGTGTATTTACACACGTTTAGAGGATTATTATTCGATTTTCGGTCCCTTAATACTTAATACTTCGAGAGTCTATAATGGCTTTAGGAAAATATTAAGCTCTAAAAAATATTATTGCATATCCCCCTCAATAAAATCCTATACAAATCTCTACTCGGGTGAGTGTGCCGTGATGACCGAAATTTGCATTATTATATTATGTAGTCTGGTTTATCCGTCTTACGAACGCGAATTAGTTAAACGACCGCGGCGGTAACCCGAGGACCGCGTATGATCGGCTCAACTATTGCAGCTGATGTCGTGATGCTATTGCTCGCGTAATCGGACACCGTCGTGGGAAAACTGAACCTAACCTAACCCGTATTAATTATTATTGTGTTGGTTGTCGGCGCACACGGACAGATCTCGAGGAAACAAATTGCGAATTTAATGAAGACTTCGGAATAAAAAAAAAATCTCCGACCATTTTTTCGGAAAACTATCGTTTAAAATACAATATTATGGGTACACATCCAAAAATCGCAATAATTTTATACGAGTAGGTACCGTTTTTTTTTGTTATTTGCGTACGTATCAATATTATATAGTGTACACGGGAACATAATCGATTTAACATGCACTTGATAACGGGTCCGCCGTAAATTTTACCGTTTTTTTTTTTTCTCGCACAATATTCGAAATGCACTGCAGTTAAGCGGTTTTAGCGTAGGTCCGTCCTAGAAAGAAAAAAAACACCGCTGTATTCATACCTATACCGAACCTTCGGCTTCGAAAATTTTCGAAATATCCGAATTATTGTCGTCCGTATTGCCAAAACATCGGAATGTATTATATGATTATACAATCTACGGTTATACGATAATAGTAAATATTCTCGTACGTTAAACCGGATCGTATAATATTATTATGAAGGATGCATTTCGACTTTTTCGAATGCGGTATTACGAACAAAATCCGAATCGTTCGCACAATATAATACGATTCAACATCGCGGCTGACGTATACTTGAAAAGTCCCCCGGACTCGACGCAATCGCATACGTGGATGGTTATGGGAACCGATTCGGGTCGCGGCCGCAAACATTTTGAATGTTTTTTTTGGAAAAAAAAAAAAACGGCCGTCTCGCGAGAGATCCAATGCGGGGGTCGGGTAAAATAACAATGCCGTCGTCGTCGACACGGTTCGCCGGGCAAAATATTATACGCCGCGGATGCTTTTCCGCCGTGTCGCGCGACCGCCCGCGGGAAACTGTGTCGACGGAACAATGTCATAATAGTACGCCGGGTAACGATATTGAATAAAAATAATAATAATTCATCTCGCGAACGGTCGCGTTATTTATCGTCGTCACAGCCCGGCAAGTCGGCAACAGTATTATTTGTATAGCGCGGAAGCTCCGCGCGACCTATTGTTGTTTTTTTTTTTTTCCGACGGCGGAGCCCACGCCGCGTCGGAATTGTTGTACGCGTAGGCACGATGAATACGGTTTGGTTTTTAATTTTATTTTTATTTTTTCACCCCCTTACCACGAGTCGCCCGCTGTCGGTTACCGCGGTACACCGGCAGGTAATTTACCCGGATCGCGATTGTGCCGGTAATGTGCGTGCGTGTATACGTCTCGGGTCGCGGACTCGTGTCGTCGCCGTGTCGCGCGGAATTCGATTCGTTGGATTGTGTGTATATTACATTACAGCTTGTGATTACGAAACGACCGATGAGACGTATATTGCAGCGCGCCTGTACGCGATTCGAACGGTAAACGCGGGGATATCTGTATAAACATTGATAACAGGCAGATATCTGCCGGTGAACGCGGGGATATCTGTATAAACATAGATAACAGGCAGATATCTGCCGGTGAACGCTATAGCCCCTCGAACGCGGTAACGTGGAACGTCTCGGTGCGCACGCGTATTCGTGAAAATATAGGTACGCGCGCGTTTAAACGTGACGCGGATACACACGGGTGAAATAGAAACACGAAGTGTTCTATTTAGACCGCTATAGTAGACACGATCGAAATATACCTGTACAATATAATAAGGCGAATTCACGAACCGCAGACCGCAGTGACCGTGTCAAACGTTTGATAACAGAGAGATTCAGTGTATCCGTTTAGTAAGATGGCGTAGCAAACGATTAACCCGATCGTAACCAAAACTAAAGTTGAATATTACTTGGTTATTTATTTATTTTTGTTTTTCGTGTGCGAATCACGATAATTTTGTATTAATAATTAAACGATTAAATGCTTTTTACTTTTGTAGCGCTTAAAGGTTACATGTACCGTGGTAACGGCTGCTGTCGAACAATACACACGTTTGAAACATTAATACCACGGTAAGATGAGCCTATCAGAAATAAATAGTAGTAGTAGTTCATAAGAAATAAAGTTGAACATAATATATTTCGGTGTCAATTTATAAATCCAATAAAACGAATTTGTTCTTACATTGTGTTCGACTCGGCCATGTAATAGATATACCTAATATAATATTGCGCGTGTATCGTTTGTATACATAAAAAAAAAAATAATAATAATAATAATACAATTCGCGAAACCACCAACAGAGAGGTTTTCGACCTCAAACCGTGATCACACAGTCGAACCACTGTGTGGCACCTATATAATATATACATGTATAGTTTTATATACGAAACGAAAATGATCATTGACATAATATATAATAAAAAAAAAAACAGTATTATATTTTAGAAAAAAAAAAAAAAAAAACCGGTCGCTCTGGTATATTATTATGCAATCTAACGTTTTTACAGCCGAAAATGTGTTTCAGGAGGTTATAGCGTATTATTATATGCGGGATCGGTTTAATGCAGTGCTAATCGCATTTATTTTGAAATTTCAGCGTACCATTGACCTTTATAATGGTGTTTATAAAAATGTGCACAACATAGCGTAGTTACAGTATGTTACAGTGCAGTGCTGCTATAATTGTGCATTCACAATGACACACAGAGGCGATTCGAAAGTATACGAGGCGCATAGAACACAAGGAGTGCAAGTGACATTTTATTGATTTCGAGAAAATCAAGTTTAAAGTTATTTGTAATTAATGCAATTATTAAAGTATATCGTCATATTATCTCTGTGTTACTGTGTTCGAATGATAAAAATAATTTAAACACTTGGCAAAAATAGAGTAAAAGTAAAGATACAGAAGTGTCTTAACAGCTATTGTGGGCCCTTGTATCTATTTACTTCTAATATGTTATGACATTTAAATTTGAAGACTATTTTAATAAGATATTATTAGTATTTGTTGCTAGATCGCAACTGCATGACAAATAATTTTCTTATATTTCTTTACCACACAATAAAATTGAATATATGTATTTCAGCTGTGCTCTTAACTCGGATATTTTAAAAATTGTCACTTACACCCCTTGTGTTCTAGGCGCCTCTTATTATATTATTACCTGTATAATATATTTAGTGGTGCAAGACATACACAGACGCCCACCATAACCCTTCAGACAATACATATATTTTTTTTAATTTGCTTTTTCAATGGCTTTTCACGGGATGCTGGAAGTGAAATTGTTTACACTTTCCAATTCGTCGACTGTCCATATTATCAACTATCAATGTCATACATAATAATATATAAAGCACAATTCACGTAGATCACTTTTTTATGGGAAAATAAAATGTTCTACACGTTGTGAACAAAAAAAAAAAAAATGCTCAACATACCAGCATCTTATTATATCACTGTTTGGTGCAACAACAATTTCATACTCAAACCGCCTCTGTTAAATCCGACGTACCTATATAATAATAATGTTTGCGCCCAACATAATATATCATAGTATGTATATATATATTATAGTTTCCGACGATATTGTTTTTCTGGATGTCGAAAAAAAACTAAAAAAATAAATAGGAACGCATCAGTGAACTCGTATCTTTACGGCTTTACGACAAGGTTTTCGATTATTTTCGGTTTAACAACTACGGCTCTATATACCAGGAAACAGTGTTTTTTTTTCTCTTTTTGGTTGTATAGAAACGATTTGGTCGTATTATTATTATTATTTTTATTTTATTTTTTTTTTTTTAAATTAGTATTCTTCTGTTTTTGCTGCGCTACGCATTTCGAGTTACTATTATACAATAGTAACAAGATTCATATACGTGTATAATAAAATATTTTTTTACTACTTTTGTTTTTTCTCGGTTCCGACCGCGACAGTGCGGTCTAACGACCTGTTGTAGTTGTAGTTGTAGTGTTTTTTTTTTCTTTTACAGCGAAACCCATTCACATTCTGCAATAATACGCCAAATATTCTCGGTATTGAACTTGTGTTAAAAGAATACCGCGGGCAGATAGTTTGTATGTTTTGAAAATGTGCGGTGTAAACACACGCTAGACATTACCCAGCTCCAGAAAACCGTAATGATGGAATAAAATATTGGCACAAAATAACCGACTAGCTATATTGTTTCGTAGAAAATCCATAAAATAAAACCCGTCCAAGTGTGTGTCGCACACGCATCAACTTAACTCTTCCGTAGTACCTATTATTATAATATGTATACATCATGTTGAATATTTTAACATATTTTGTTCGATATTGACATAATCAGTTAACACGTTTTGTTCGAAATAATTTCAGTTCAGAAGTGTTTATTAAATGTTTGTATCTTGATTTTTCGTTAAAATTTCGAATCGCGTGGTTCGGAGACTATATTATAAATAAGCTTATATCATCATATCGCGAAATATTCATCCGGATAAAAGATATCTCGTTTAATACTTTTGTAAAGGCCTTTCCAACGGCATCCCGGAATGCACAAAAATTCAATTTACAACGCTCAATTATGTTTGTTGAAAACTACTCCTAAATTTGTATTTAATTTTTTTAATTTTTGATTACTATGAATTGTGCAGAACACCTTATAGAATTTTATGAAAATCGATGGACAAATGGCGAAAAAGTAAATGCAGTTCGTAAACGTGTCTTGCAAAATGCAACCGTGTTCAATCAAAAAGATATCACATTCCAAAACTCGACAGTTTTTGAAAATATTTTAGGGTCGGATATTTTCATCGGATCCAGCGTTCAATTTTACTGATTTTTCTGATTGATTCTACGTGTTCTTATTTTCGGAGATTTAAATTCGCGTCAAGGATAAGAAGTCTATTAAATTTGATATTTTAATACTATAGGAAAAATGTTGCAATCACATTATAATCGTGTTAAGCTATCCAACGCGATTTAAATATTTTGGTATCCAACAAACTTCCAACTGCACACCCGTCGTTCAGTTGTATTTTGGAAGACAGCGGAAATATTGTTTTATAATATTATCGACGAGTTCTCGAAAGATCCGTGTGGGACGACTCGTTTTTCTCTCGGAACTCCACCGCGTCCGTCGAAACCAGTTTTTTTTTTTATCAAACGGTTTTCATTCTCGTACATAATATTATACAGGCATAGTCTATATAATAATATAACATATTGAATAATAATACTGTGTTATAGGTGCGAGTTAATATAATATGGTCGTACGTATGTACAACGACGACGAACACGGTATAATTACGAAAAAATAAACCGTCCCATTCAGCGTGAAGTCGCTAGACGCTATAGACGTTGGGTCGCGGAAGAGTTGAATATAGCTGTGAATTTGTGAAGCGATATAATATACAATAATACGATACATAGTGTTGTTATTTCATTAAGCATATTCAAATACTCATTATTTACGCATACCAATTGGCTATGATTAAAAGGAAAAAAACAACCTACATTATTTTATTATAATATGCTAATTTCGTACCAGAGTTTATTGCCATATTATATTGTGTTGTTATAGATCGATAATATTATTCATATTTTATTGTTGACTATTAAGTCGTTTATGTATTGTGTATTTCACAGACGCTATAGCTTTATATATAATTATTTTTAGTCTCGTCACATATATTCTACATTTGAATTTCCTTTGGAAAATGTATACTATTGAAAAATTGACAACCTGTCATTTACGGTATTAAGACAAATTAATATAAAATTTGGCCAGATAAAAAACGTGAATATTATTATGACAAAATATGTCAAACACTTTTTATGTCTAGTCAATTTCGACTGTGCTACTTCCGTTTTTTAAATGTTATTACTTATTGCAAATACATTATACAAGAATAAAACGAGACAAAAAAAAAATCAAAAGTTAATTTTAAACACTCTGTATTTAACGTGCATTCGCTTAGGTTAATTTTAATAGAAAAAGGATTTATCCAAGCATCACGTATTAAATATAAAGAATTCGGACATTAAAAAAAAAAAAATGGGATAAAAAAAAAACTATATTGTTAAAAACAAAAATGTAAGAAGATGGATGGAGGTATTTCCTAGAAAAAAATGATCCGCGCCCATTGTTGTTCAACGATGATGTTAATGAAAGATTTTTTTTTATTGCATAATGTTTTTTATTTAATTTTCCCATAAAACTATTATTTTAAACTCCACGAAGCCTACAACTGCGAACCTATCGAGATATATTAATTTATTTAAAAACAAAAAAAAATACTATACAATCGAATTTTCCGAGACGTGTTCTTGGGTGCTAATAGCGATTGCGGAACGATAATAGAAAGAAAAGAAAACGTAATATACAATAATTTTTAACGTGTACGCGTAGATTTGTTTTGTTTTTTTAATAAAATCCTTTTATCCTTTAATCCTTTAAAGAATTAAAACGGTTGGGTAATGGACCACTCCTTGTCGTCGACGTTCCTACCGGATCTTTCGGTTTAGTAGTTCGAAACTGAAAATTTGCTGACACCCCGGGGCACCGATTCTTTAGCATCCTTTAATATGAAAACAAATTTGTTTACAATACCCTATAGAATTACGAGCTGCACACTTTTCGTGTTTTACTATACACTTTGTGTTCTAAAAACACACTATATTTTAGACCATGCTAAACGAGTGTAAACTATACGGTGGGATGAATATTTCGAAAAAAAAAAAAAAATCTTATAATATATTCCAATAATTAAATTATAATCTGTCACATAATAATCGTGATATTATAAAGTTACTATTTTGCGGTGTCTTAAAAGAAGATTACGACACCCCCTTGAAATGTGGCCAATTCACCCGCTCCTAAATACGTCCCTGGGAACTCGTGGGGTGGATTTTTTTCAGATATTTTTTTAATTCCCGTCGTCGTCGATTTCTTTCAACGCGTACCCGCGTACTCCCCATACACGTCGTCATGGCGAACCGAGAAGAGGGCCGACTGCGGCAAAGTGTCTGCGGCGACTATACGGTTCGCAGCCGACAATGGAAACCAGTTAACCGATAAGAGACTAGAGGTACGACGATGTTTCGTGCGCACACGTGTTGCAATGCGCGTATACCGCGTGCCCTAATGAGGATACAGAGAGACCGTATAAACGCATTATATAATTTATATTGTGCGTATGAGTCCCCCTCCCCTCCTCCCTCCCCTCGTCCGTTACTGCGGCGTGTACGCGTACAATATTTATGGTCGCGGGACGACAGAAGAATTTTTTTTTCTCTTCCCGAGACCATTAGGTACACCGGATACTTACCGGCGGTGGCGGCACGAGACGGTGGACGGAATATAAAGAACAATAATAACAGTATAAAAAAATAATGTCAAATAATATAATACGTGGCAGCTGCAGCGGCGTAAATATATACGTCTTTGCCGGAATGTCCGCAAACCGCGACGGTGACATATTGCGCGTTTTATTGATAAGAAAAGAAGAAGCGACGACGGACGAACAGAGGATTTCACTTTATCACGGAACAATTACAATAAGTGTGTCGGACGTTAGTGTCGTTAAAAACTCGCGTCATATATTTTTATTTTATTTTTTTTTATCTATTGTCTCGCGTACGTACATTTGCCCCCGGTGTATCGTGGGAAGTAGAAAAATTAATTTAAGGAAAATATCGCGTGTACGGCTGTGTTATAATAACGACAATTTTATCGTAATATCCCGTGGGAGTCGATCTCGTACACGTCATATTTCAATATTATACCTATTGCGCGTATCGCAGTGTTGAACAATAGCCCCGTTTATGGGGAGGGGAGGATTGGGAGGATCAGCCCCCTCGTGGTCCGTGACTAAGCGAATACTTATGGCTATTACGATTTCAGAATTATATGCCATATGGACTATACGTATTTGACAACACAATTATTATTATAAATTATATCATAACGAAGTGTTATATATAAATGATAGTGTTCATAGTCATGTAGTTGATAATTAGTTTGCTAATTAATATGCCGATTTTTGTACTATTTTTCTTTATTACTGTGTCACCGAAACATAAAAACATTACAACTTCATCGGATGAGGTCATCAATTAGTTCAAAAAAAAAAAAAATTTCGATTTTGTGTTATAAGTTATAATGTAACGTGTTTGACAATCTATGTAATGTTTCCATTGGTTATTAATAAATTGTATTGTTACTATTAGTACCATTGTATTGTAATAATTACGAATCTCAACGAAAATTGCTCGTTACAATATATGGTGTGTGGAAGATGTGGCTGAGAGAGAAGGGCTTTCTTTGAAAAATATCTTAATAACCCCCTCCCCCAATCCCCCGTGAAAAATTTCTAAATACGGCACCGGTTATTGAATAATCAAATCTACGTAGTACGTACAATCGAGGTGTGAAAAAAAAACAGTAAACGAATTACAAGTCGAAAATAACAAAAAATAAAACTCCGTTGACAATGTTTATGTATATAAAAAAAAAACGTCTGTTGTTGTTTTTTTTTTTTTTTTTTTTTTATCCGCAGTTTCAGTTGAATTGTAATATAGTGACAATGCGTTCGGGATAACTGTAAACACTTATTTGTACGTACAATCGGTTGACGGTTTCCGTGCTCTAACCATTTAGGGCACCGATGTAAATTGTGATGGCGGTGGTGTTTCAAGAATGAACTCGCCTGACGGTGGTCCACGCAATTCCTGCGAAACGTGTATTGACTATGTCCTTGTCGTCGTCACTGTTGGCGGTCAGCGTATTTTATTATATTAAATCACGCCGTGATAAATGATAAATAATAATACGAAATAATGGGACGACGGCGTATACGTTTAACTGTGTTATACGAAAATCGTGTATCTAAGAAAACGAAAATCGCAAACGGGCACACTGTATACTTGTAAACGGCTCCGATTGAGGTTTTCTTTCGTTGCGTCGGCGGCGGGCCGTTATAAGTTAATGCCGTTTAATTCGAAACGCTACTGTCGTGTTCGTGTAATTTTGGGATTGTCGATTTAATGGGTTTTCGAAATTTTCAAGACCCAGCTAGCCTGTCGAGACCGCCCATAACCGGCGGATACAGAGACGCCCCGCGGTCAGATTAGGTCAGGTTCGGCCAGCCGATTGATTTCGATTAGAGCCCGCACACGAGTACACAATTATTATATTACAAGTTATTACGCGCAGTTTAAAAGGTTTATAAAATATAATGTACGTATATACAGAGTGATAATGATAACGAAATCGTTTTTCCGGTACATTTTTCACGGACTTGAATTTTGCTGAAAAACATTTATTAATTAATTAAGAAATTAATTGAAGATCGAGAGTGATTCGAGGCCGAAATTGTCCAGTTTCAATGCCGACATTGACTCACTCTGGTGGCAGACGTGTACGATATGAAAAATCGCATCGAGTTTCTATTTAACTTTGATCACCTGTTTTAAGTATAGACGACAAAACTTCTTTTCCTCGTAAAAAGTATTTTTTTTAATTTTTCCCCGTTCGGTAAATCTTCTTGATTACCGACATTGCATAATAAAACATATTCGTCACATGCGTATGCGTCTGTTTGTGTCGGCGTTTACAATTCTTACCGTGTATATCATTGAGTTAGCGGGTGTCCGGAGTTATTTCTCTCTACGAAATTGATGGCCCGCAAAACCAAAACGGTGGGAAACCGCCGGGTCGGGTCAGTACGCGGCGGGAACCGTTATTATCCATGGTACGTTCGCGTGATATGTGCCGCGTGTATCGTGATAATGACGAGCGCGATGTGTCTGCAGCGTGCGTGCGCGGTGGTTCCGGGCGACAAGAATATTCGTGTTGTTGTTGTTGTTGTTGTTGTTGTTGTGCGGTTATGATAATAACATTGCGCTAACCGCGCACAACGCGTGGCCCGTTCCGTGAGAGCCGTTGTTCCGTCCCGGTCTCGGCCGGTACAGATCACCGGGTACGGTGCACATTATACGAACCGATTGTTGTAAGGTCGACCAAATTGCCTCGTCTATTATCGGTATCATGGTGAGATGTATCGTTGGGCTATATAAATATGTGCCGGGCCGCGGGAACTCTATTAAGGGACGGTTGGTTTTTTTTTCCGTTTCTTAATAGACCTAAAAAAAAAAAATGTTAAGACCGGAACGCGTCGTTTAGCCGCGGTGTAGCGACGGCGGGTGGGCTTAAGGCGACAACAATCGTGTGCTTATCGTTATTATTATTGTTATTGTTGTCGTTTAACTACTCGGCATATAGTGGGCGTTAGTATAATAATATTCGTTCGGAGTGCACCTATAATATGTGAGACGTGTTATTATTTAATATTGCACCGAGGCGTAATAATATTGTTATTATCAAAAAAAAAAAAACGGCGTTATTATTGCGCGGGTGTACCCGAGCCGCGGCCAAGGTCAACTGTAGTTGCATGTGTGCGATGTGCCGTTTTAAAAGGCGTCTTGTCGGCGACACCGGCGCAGCAATTTATTATGCGGCAGCGTTTATAATATTTCGTGCGTGACGTGCAATGCGAACGAAAAGTACACGTAATATCAAAAGTATTTATCAATTTCGGACGTCGTTTTTTTTTTTTTAGTATACCAGTGATAACACTCGCGCGAATTTTTCACCCGCGAGAGTAGTGATGGCGCGACATAGCAGTCAGTAACGGCGATGTTTCACCGGGTAGTGTAAAGCGGCAGGTGTACCATCAGTCTCCGGTATGAAAACAGCGGCGACCGCTAATTATTACTCGTTCGCCAAAGACTGTCGTGATTTTTTTTTTTATCGTTTTATCGCGGTAGCTGCAGCCACCGCTATTGTCGCTGTTGCCGAAAAATGTCACAGTTGGCCGTGCGCGCGCGAGAGGGATTAAACGGCCACGTTGTTTGTAATACTCTGTTTGTCGTTTGCGGCGACGGTGCTGAAGACCGCCGCGGGCGCGGCACTCGGGGAAGTCTGATGATTTTCGCGGTATCCGAGCGGTGCCTGCGCGTACTATACACGCCTCGCGCACTTGTTGCACGCCGACAAGACCGTTATTCGCGCGCGCGTGTTCGTATATATTATTCAATTGAAATTCATCCGAGACCGCGTAGCCCGCGTGTACAGGCGTAACGTTTTCGAGTAGGCCAAAAACCATTCGGTAACGAAAAACATCGTCGTTCCGTCCGAGAAAATTATAATTAAAAAAAAAACTTCGAGATTTACCGAAATAGAAAATTACCGGTGCGTTCTTTAAGTCCCCGTCTGATTGAAAGTGGCCATTCAAAACACATGTAGTTACAACCGTGCGCGCGTATATTTTAGAATGGAAAACTTTCCATTGCAGTCCTACCGGCCGTCGTGTTTCTCACGAGTGTTAAAACAATATTTCGTCCGTAATTGTGTAAAAAGTAAGACGGCGATGAGATTTTCGGTCGAGGTCACTGCCACGCGGAACACAATCATCACGTTCCATATAAAGTTTCCGAAAATTTACGATCAACACAATATAGTCTCATCAAGGTCGCGCGGGTACATTATTGTTTTTTTTTTTTTTTCAACGGTTTTGCTGTTGACGAATAGCCGTTTTTTATCGTCCAGAAAATTTCCGAATTTCTCATACGTTTGAATGTATAATGTTCTAATACACGAGATACAGTGTGTGCAGCCCACGACGACGTGCATACCGAATCCGTATTAATTAAACGACGCTTTCCTCGTGCCAACTGCCAAGACGTATTATTTGACATATTATATACACACACGCGCGCGCGCGCGTTAAATATTATTATTAATCGTCGTTGGCCATCGGTTTTTTTTTTTTTTTAACGGCTTTCTTCAAATTCCAGAAAAGATTACGTTTAATTCACTGGCAATCGACGTGTTTACGACATCGCGTCACTGCACCGTTCGGCAGTTGTAAACTAATATAAACTTTCAAAACACATTCTCTCTCTCTCTCTCTCTCTCTCTCTCTCTCTCTCTCTCTCTCTTTCTCTATCTATTTCTATCTCTTTAAGCACATATCATAAATATGCATCTGCTTATAGTTGATTCAATGTCGAAAATCGCGTTTGAATTAAATTTTTTTTTTTTAAGCGTATATAATACAAAATAGTATTAATTTAAAACCGCAGTTACATCTAAAACCTGCTTACTCGAATACAAATAAATCTGAAGCTCGACCGACCATTGTACGGTCGGTAATATATTCTGTGTGATTGGTAATAACAATATAATATGTTAAATATTCGAAATTAATCACAAATTGTTTCTACATTACCGTCGCATAATAATTCATGACATAAACGGGTATGGGTTAATCGATACAGTTTGCCCCTGTATACGACCGCTGACTTCATACGTCTAATTGTCGGACTCATAAAATACGGTCAACCAATTTATGGGTCGTTTTAAATTATACGTACATGATTAAAACTTATTGTGTTTTTGTTTTGACACTGCAATATCGGAACTAATCACTCACGTACAAATGTCTAATTTACTGCTTAAATCTTAGCTAATTGACGGTCGACGATATCGTACAAATACACAGGTAACTCTGTAAATTTGCCGGCGTGATAATGAATTCGTTTTACTATAACTACCGATCGTAATAAAACGGATACTTTGAAATTAGACTCGCGCCCAGAAACCGTATAATAAGTATACCTATAGTATATGTAACTCGCCTCTTATTGTAAATTATTTTGTTATCATCGCAGTCGCGTTTATTGGTCATTGTTATTCAAAACGTTTTGCATAACAAGCAGCGTTATATTATTATTTCGCTATAATTTTTACTAAAAAAAAAAAAAAAAACTATAGACTCGTCGCGCGCTGGAAGTCCGCGTTAAAGTCGACGATAGTTTATTATTCTCGGGCGTCTCCGTTGTTCGAATCAATAACACGTAAAATTCAAGAACGGGCGGAAAACGAGTTCGCCCTTGAATTTCCTCGTTTTTTTTTTTTTTTTCGTAATTATAATCATTAAATTTACAGTTTACAAAATTGTACGTTCCGTGCATTACGTATCCGACCGGGCACGTGAACTATTATAGGGAAAATAATGTTCGTAGATTTTTCGTTTTACCCGCGATTTCGTAAAATGGTTATCGATTCATCCGGGCGCGCCTCCTCGGGAGACTCGAAACGCGACGGTCGGGCGATGAAGGGAAACCGCACTATCGTATATTATACACAATAATCCAACGTCATTGTTCTCCAATCAGTTGACCGAGTTTCCTGTCGGCCCGTATAAACACCCGCGACCGGCTTCCGGCTTTTTCCCCCGAGGAGAACCTATTTTTATCCAATCGCCATTATATATTAGTCCGGCGAACAACTACCGGGGGGAGAGGGGAGTGGAGGGGAGGACAACAACGGTTGTGCTTTCTCGCGTTTACAATATACGAACTTCTATCGTTTTATTAACGTACAATCAAATTATTATCGTCGTGTACCGCGGCCTTTCCGTTGCTTGTCCATCGTTGTAAGTTTGTGACATACCGCGGCGACCGCATTCCGTCTCCGGCGTATACCTATACATTATAAATATATCATATTATTATACTCGCGTACACGCGCGCGGTACAACAACAAGTGCACAGAGCATTCGTATTTTTCGTGATTATTTATTTCGTATTATTCGCGACGATCGATTGGCGTGTATTACAATTGGTGTTATTAAACAATGTTTTCCGTGTACGGTGAAAATCGTCCGTATATTAATAATAATATTATTATCACACGTAGGCACTCGTACGTAATACGCGACCTACGCAAATCAATTCGTGTATACACGTTTACGGGTAATATATATAGTGCGTAATCACGCGCGGTCTTCGACGACTATAATATATTATAAATCGGAGATAGTACATTATTATAGCTATCTGTAATAATATAATAGAATACGTCATTACGCGACGGCCAAATAAAAAATCAGTCACTTTTATTGTTATTAATTTCTTTTTTCTTCGGACTTTTTACGCGCGCGAAACAAAAGAAAAAAAAAAACAATAACGCCGCGGTCGGACGCGACAATGATGACGATATAATAATAATAATTCTGTACGGTATACAAAACATCGTCAGAATATTCTGTATTTCGCACGGGGGAGCTCATTGTACACGCATAATAGTGTAGGTACCTTGCAGTATCCGATCCTCGTGGTTATAACAAACCCGATTCCACAAAACATTTTCTCCGCGAAACCGTTCAATTAATACGAGTTTTTTTTTTTTGCACCGACGTATACGGCCGGCGCAGTATTATAGTTAAAATCGAATTATAAACCGTGGAAAAACTAGTTAAATACATCTGCGTACCAATAAAACGCCGACTGATGTAGTTTTTTTTTTTTTTCATTCTTTTCTCTCAACAAAACGATATTAACATAATATTCACCTTGAACTTTTCGCGAGACCGCGGTGTCCTATCGCGGTGCCGTATAAAAAACGTATGCTGTATACCATACTGTATTGCCTATATAGGTATTATAGGTACCTACTGAAATTATATTAACGATTTAATAAAATAATACGAGTGAATACAGACTTGACAACGCCTACGAAATCGCGGAGGAAAAAAAACTGGATAATGGGCTAGATTGCTCCATTATTATTTATTAAATACGTCCTTCGGTCGACGTTTGAATAGCGAATATTATATACCTGCGCATTAATTTATTTTCATATTTAAATCTACAATATATTATAATCTATATGCACCTAGGCATGTTGTTTTATTATTGTGCGTAGTTGTTATTCGATGACTAGAATAATAACAATCGATAACACCGATCTCTGGCAAATCCCCGAGCATTTTTCAGTGCTGGGCGGGTTAGGATAAATGCTTGAACATTTTAACGTGTATTTAAAAAAAAAAAAAAAAAAAAAACAAATCAATTGATCGTTTGTTTTTGTGGCGGGCGGGAACGTGTGAATCGTATTTTACCCCGAGAATTTGAGTATTACATGGTCGGACGCCATCGATAACGATGTAAAACACAAACAATATTATAATATTATAGTAAATGCGGAACACGCACAGACGTAGAGATCGATGAAAATACGGAATTTTACGCGTTTGATTTAAAATCGTATTTATTAAATTGGATTTCGTTTTCATCTCGTCTTTATAGGTATATTAAATAAATACGTATTCGATTTGTATTTGAACGCGTACCACCTATACTGTACATAAGGGAATGGTTTCAATAATACTCACGATGTTCGGTTCTCGGTCCATAATAATTATTTATAATTTTTTTGTTTTTTTTTGTTTCAGCGATTGTAATGCATTTCGTCTTTCTGGCGGCGTTCTTTTGGCTCAACACGATGTGTTTCAATATTTGGTGGACGTTTAGGTGAGTCGAAATCAACAAATATATTATTACTATTATTATTAATGCGTATTTTGTATAGGGGTCCAATAATATACCGCGCATCACGATGTAGATTACTAAACATAAATTATTAATACATACCTGCAAACCGCGTTTAACGCGAGATAATAAGTAATTTCACGGTGTAATCGCTTTAATATAGTATTGTGAAAAAAAAAAAACCAAAAACAATTCGAAAATAATCGAAACGGAAGACCCAAAATATTTGTTTTTTACCGACGAAAACGACGGCGGTGGTAGGCACTGAATAATACTAATTTCAACCTCATATTTCTGGGCGTGATAATTTATGTCGTGTACTCAACATAAATTTAGGTACGCGTTTATAATAATTACATATACGAAGTACAACAATAATAATAATAAAAAAAAAAAAAAATAAAGTAGCCCCGGGTTACAATAATAAATGATATATACGGACCTCGTATTTTGTTTTTTTACCCGTCTCTAATACTATACCGTTTTCTATATCATACCCAAGTAATACGGAATACGGAAAAAAAAAAAAAAAAAAAAATAATAATATAAAACGCACTTTGTCTCGGCGGTGTATATAATTGAATAGGCATCATATGCGCACGTATACCCCGAGACAACAGTAATATCGAGTTACGAAAGTGTATTTTCACCGTAGGTGCAGCATATTATTATAAAATATTATTCCCACGGTGTACCGATGTACTGAGCGATTCGGTTTTTTTTTTTTTTTTTTACTTTTGTGTTCCGCGTACGATTTCACCCTTTTATAAACCAATCGATACGGTAGGTTTCCCCTCCGTCTCCGCCGTTCCCGCGACATTCAACGGCAATAATAATATTTATTGAATTTCCAACTTAAAAATTATTATTGCATTACGATCGGTTGGTAGATCACGGATCGGCAGAGAGAGACGTTGGATATTTTTGTTAAAATTGGTTCGCGAATTCGTATCATACGGGTATCCGAGGCTGTAATATAACTGGCGGGTCCGGTGATGTACTTATTTCAACGTGGAAAAATATGGGTGTACAGTAGGTGCGTATTCTATAGGAGTCTCCGTTTTTGTGTTAACGTGTAATGAAATGAATTTTCGTAATATGTAACGGGATTAAGGCCCGTGCAGTAAAACTATACACTCGAATACCCGTGTATTGAATAATGAAAATCGTAAAAAAAAAAACACGACATTTCGCGAACTATTCGGCGGTCCGTATGAGCACGCACCCGACTATATGTGTGACAGAAACAAATATATATACATAAAATTTAAATTAACATACACTCGAATAAATACACGGTTGTCGGGGAAAAATACACGGGCAACGGGAATCAAATACACGTAGGTATAACGGATATTATTATTTTCGTTTATTACGCATACTTAAGATCCATGTACACTGTGCATGACCATAAACATGAGTACATATACCTATATGTTAAAAAAAATTGTAAACCCGCCCTTGAAATCGTTTTTAGCAACTATTATGATATCAATGAAATGTCTCCACTCCTCTTAAATGAACTTTAGATCCTCTACTGTAACTAACCTATAGATTACACTGTCTACACTACTACTAGGAACACCGCAAGTAGAAACGCCGTCATTTTTTAGATTTTCGTCAAAATTAGAACCTAAAACGCTTATAAAAATCTACTACATTATGCCCGATTTTTTTTTTACCCGTATGTACAACTAACGATGAACTTCGTCTCAAATTTTCGAGCATTTTTGTTCTGCCCGAATAATCATACCGACATAAAAACTAAACGAAAATTCGAAAATATAAAATCGTCAGAATGTTTTAAATGTTTTACCACGTTTAGAAAGAACTAATAAAATATGCTACGAGAATTTCATGAATTTACAATTAATATTTTTAACCGAATTACGCCAAAAGAAAAAAAATAAACGAAACCGTTTTCCCGTTTTTTTACCAATTGTTGAAAAACGACCTCTCATTGCATCAACTAAACGAAATTTGATTTTTAGAAAAGATGCTACACTTAATGATCGGAGTAAGGTTGGTGATAGAAAAGTTGTTAACAAACACAAATAAACATAAATACCTCTCATCACGGTAAAACCAATACGTACATTTCTCGCTACAGCGTTCAGAATCTAAAATAAGAATAACGAGGTCGAACCGGCCATGTACACTTAATCTATAAGTGGATAAACACTTACATAGGTACTTATAAGTAATAAATTTTACCGATATCGTTAACGCGATCTCTCATTAAGTGGAATTTTGTCGGTAACCTACACTAATTTAATAGTCAAAATCGTAAGCAAAATTGACACACTTGGTCAAGATGAAACTCGGTTTAACATAACATTATGAATTTTCAGTTAGTCGTCGATTCTACACAATCCAATGAAGACTGCTGACACGCTCTGGCCATTTCATTTATTTTGCTCGATCGCATTTTGCATGGCGGTGATGATATATGTATAGGTATTGATACGAATAGTTTGTAAACTAAACCAGTGGACATTTAATGATCCGCCGAAACGTTAGAGGAATAGTATTATCATATTTCATGCGCATTTAATTATTTGGTATTCGGTATTTATAGGACTTTACCTCTTTCGGAAACCTGCTCTACCTAGTACCTATATTAAATGAATACCGTCGCCGAACAAGGAACTGGCAAAGACCTTATATTTGTGTTTCTTTATTTCAAATATAAACGAATGTTTATTAATGAAGAAAAAAAAAAATCGTGTAATTATATTATATTGTTATATGCTTCTAAATACCGTGCTGTTTTTGACGAAACGGTACTCTCGTTACTATTAAAATGTCTGCATACCGATTACCCATACAATTATAAAATAATTATTTTAGTAAAGCTAATTATGTCGATGTCACAGATAAATTGTAATTAACTGAAAAAAAAAAATAAAATAAACAAGTTCGATAAAATCTGCTTCGTTGGTTTTGATTAGATTTGAACGACATCGGACGTAATAATAATTACACAAATACCGCTGAATTTGAATATTTTCAATATTATGCGTTACGCGGTGATATAATTGTATAATCAACCTTAAATCTATTTATCGTCGATAAAGTAATACATGAAACTTTAGTTTGATAATGAAGCGATTCGGTCAATTGTATACTATGTTGTAAAAATCGTATTCAATCACATTTTATGGGTTTTTTTTTCATTTTTTAAGATAAATACTTTAATTTTAGTTGGCAAATAAAATTATAATTTGTGTGTTTTAACGTTGTTTATAATATAAAGAAGTATCTTTTATATACAAATTATTATCTACTTATTGTATATTATTTACATACCGGATTTATTTAATGCTGCAGTCGTGATGATAAAATAATAATAAATTATTTTTTATACGACGACAATAATTGTACGCAGATCTGGAATTAATTATAATTGCAACATTTAATAAACAAAAAAAAAAAAAAAACCATTCCTATATAATTCAGTAGACATTTCACTTTAAAATCATCACAGATATCATATCAATATCACGCGTGTGAATAGAAATTGAGATTATAATCATTCATTTTACAGTCGTACATTTAAGTGGTAACCTCGAATGGCGATTCGTCTACGATGTTAAACTAGCTCAATAGATAATTTATCGATATTTTTTGCAAAAACCTAAACGAATGCAAATGGAAAACCGATCAAAGATAAAATAAATCGTTCGAATCATCTTAATTTCAATTTTTGTTATTTGAATAAACGAATGAGCTGTGGTAAGAAAAAAGTTTTTCGTGTAACTCCCCCCCCCCTCTTTCCCCTAATTAAAAATGTCTAGATCTGCAGGAAACAGGGAAACCATAAGTAAAAATTGCATGAGAGACAACCCCAATCAATAGACGGAAAAACCAAATTTGATTTAAAAGCATAACTTATTAATAATATTGTTTTTAAAATTTAAAACAATAATAATAACTATAAACTATCGGTGCATTCATTTAAGTTCACCTACAATTTTTTTACATTAATTTTTACACGTACGTAATACAAATTGCCATTTTCTTTAATCTATTGAGAGGAAAGTCGTCTCTTTGCCTTTATGGCCACCTTGCATATTCATCGATTCTATTCCTATTTTCTAACAATACAGAAATTTCCTTTTGAAAATAAAGATAGTTTCATCTTCTTCATTTTGTTCCTGAAGTCTGTTAAATTTTAGATTCTGAGTGAAGTGAGAAATGTATTGGTTTTATAATGATATGTTTATTGTTTTTTTTCTATTAAGAACTTTTCTATCGGAAATTTTGCTCCAGTCATCAAGTGTAGCACTTTTTCTGAAAGAAAATTTCCCTGGGGTGGTACTCTAATGAGGTCGTTTTTCAATATTCTCAGGGGTTTTCATAACAAATGGGAAACGCCGGGAAAATTCATGAAGTGTATTATTTTCAAATCGTAAATATGACGTATGTAACCGAACTCCGTTCAGAATCGTTTTTCATTAGCAATAATTAATCGTTGCGTACGGATATACATTCAATTTCCCCTCTACCTTTCCAACTTCTCACCGACAACAGTGGCCCACGTTTCGTCGTGCGTGTATGTCCATTTGTTTTTAATGTCGAAATTGTAAAACTGTAAGCGCAGGCCATTGCCAGTAAAGTTTGACAAAAATACTCGTTTGAAACATTATTAGGCGTGTAATATATTATATTTTAAAAACAACGACCGGTGTCAGAAATCTGTCGAGCACGTCGACGTTTTCATATCAGAAAAAAGAAAAAAGAAAAGAGACGAATCAATGAGCGCTAATGGTATCTATTTTATTTTATATATATTTATTTTTTTTTTTTTTTTTCATTCCAGAGATCTGAGGCCCGCCAATTTGGACAAAGGCCAAGAGGCCTGCAGGCTCAGACTGTACCAGCTGTACGCGTGGGGCGTGCCCTTGGTGATCGCTACACTCGCCGCCGTCTTGGACCGTATACCGCCGGATCAATATATATCATTAATTAGACCCAAATTTGGTGAACACCGTTGCTGGTTTTATGGTAAGTAACACCACTAGTAGTAAAGACATGGTATTCTTCTTCAGATATTATAGTTTTTTTTTTTTTTTACAACCAAATAATGTTAATAATAATTTCATAATAATACATTATCCCCCTACTATCAGTACTATAGTACCAAAGTACCAATCAAAACCCGTTATTCTGGTTTTCCGTCTTTATTTTAATACCAGTTACGTAGTATTTGGGACGATTTTCCCGTACATTTGATTAAGTGTATTTTATGTTAAACTATTATTATTTTTTTTTTTTTTTTTTTTCGTTTTCGTTTAATAATAATTACATGTGTATTGTCACTATGAAAAAAAAAAAAAAATTATTATTACATAGAAAATGCGCTAGCCTTAACAATTAAAAATTCCTCTTTGATGTATTAACAGAAAAAAAATACTCAGCAAACGAGAAAGTAAAGAATTTTCGGCGAACCTCGTAAACAATAGTGAATTTTATAAAAAAAAAAAAAAATTATACAGCTAATTATAGAGTATTTAAACAAAAATCGAATATTGGTAAGTCAAAAAAAAATTATATAGTACATGACCTTTTAGACCTTAAAATTTACTTCTTTCTTTTTCATTACTTATTTTCATCATCTTTAATTTGTTAGTTGGCTCACGAGTCGCTGTAACTTAATAAACTTTGATGATTTATTTTCATTTATTATTCGAGTTTTAAATAAGTTTAACATTCATATTTTGCATTAAACACTTGCAAATAACTGGTTAGCTGGCCGCTTTCTTATTTATCATATCTTTCCACTGCCAGATAATTTATTTTAAACGATTATAATAATATGTACTCAAATTTAGTTAAGATAATGAGCTATCTCCCGTATTTAAGGGATTGCGTATAGACAAATTTTTCTACATTTTCGAAAAAATTATATTTCATCCAATCAAAAATATTCAAATTTGCTCTATTTCAAATATATGTACTCGTATAAGTAGTCTCGTGCCATTATCACAAGTATTTATTGTGTAAGTAATCATTGAACTAACAAACATGTTTACGAAAAATCGTTTAGCGCTGGCACAAATTTATTCGGGCTGAACTAAGTCAGTTCAAATACCAAATTTTCACCATAACACAATGAGAACTTGCACTGTTCGACTTTGTTTTTAATTTTTCAATATAACTATTATGAAATAAGTTATTCGAGTTTGAAAAGCTGAAAATCATCAAATTTTTAAACAACAATAGTTAACTTTTTTTATTGTATTTGTAACAACGGAATAAAACCAACGTCGCACAGTGAAAGTTTTCCTACTTTTATGGTAGAAACATTATTTCTTTACTAAGACTATAGCCCGAGCAGTTTTTTCGCGCTCATAACGGTATTCACAGTCGTATTACGGGCAGTAGCACGGCCTGCTCTTAATGAGTATACCAAATAACTATTGTCATGACAGTACGAAATACATTCGCGAAGAGGGAATGGTCAACAGTAAACAAACGAGCTTGTTCATAATATTATAAAAATTAATCGGGTTGCCGGTTCAAAAAATTATTGAAGTAGTATTTTACTATATACCTGCTAAATGATAATCAATACAAAAGCGATATAGGTATTAGTGAAAGTGAATATTTAAAACTCTAGTGGTCCGTATTTTAATATAGGTAATGTATAGAACCCAGTGATTCTCGTCGTTATTATTTTCGTTTAAACTCAAGGTGTACCAGTGCACCTTGTACGGGTATCGTTTATTTTCGTGATAATATAGTATTGTCTGGTTCGAAAAAAAAAAAAAAAATTATTATTATTATATCTAACTGCGCTCCATCTGCGTCTATTTTCGGACAAAATAAATGCAATAATTGTTCGTGTTTCGTTATATTTTAGGTGACGCAGAGGTCCTGTCATATTTCTACGGTCCTATCGGCATTCTGTTAATGATGAACCTAACGTTGTTCGCGGCCACGGCTAGAGAACTCACGTGCGGCTTATGGAGAACCGAAGTGGTGAAATCAACGAGCGAAAGGTAAGCGGATAAACTACGATTTGTTAAAATACAAAATAATAAGCATGTAAGTTTGTGTCACGTTTTGCGCTAAATGTATTATCGATATCCTCCAGTGTACATGTTTGGGCCCAGAGATGGAGGACTCAAGTCAATTTTGTTTAGTTTTCTGTACAAGCAAATTAAATTTTGAAAAATTACCGAATGACGTAGTGACATAATAGTATTAATTGGTAAATGGCTAATTGTTACTTAATGGCCTAACTATAGGCTTTCTAAAGTTGTTTAAGTCATATGACTGTGCCCTATTTTTTGCCGAACGAAAAGTACATCAGAGTGACGTGAGATATTTCAAATAGACATGTACTGATAGTATGTTTAGACCGAAAAGTAAATGGTTAAAAATAGCATCATAGACAATTATAATTTTTTTTTAAAAAAATTGCCAACATTGACTTTAGTCCTTCTTCCCCGGAACCGCGTATATATACGTACATAATTACGATCCACGTAGAAAATGACGAGCGAATATTTATGAAAAAAAAAACACGACGGATTTGTGTTGACAAATAATAGTTATTATTGCTATAAGTGCTTAAAAAACCAAAGACATAAATCTCGTGAAACGGATTCGTGTAGTGTCTATCATTTGTGCCAATGTTAAATCCACCTATATTTACAAGAATATTACGAATGACAACAGTTTGTACTTGTTATATTATTTTTGTTGTCATAGACATTACTATTTTGTCAAACGGAATTGTACGGGGGAAAACAGAAAAATAAAAGAAAGAAATAAACCGTAATAATTCCCTTAGTAGACCGTAAACGCCGGCAGTCAAACGATATTTTTATGCGATCGAAATAATAATAATAATAATAGCAAGATTGGAGGTCAAATAAACGCGAAGGCATGAAATTACTTTGAGTAGGTATTATTTTTTTTTTTTCGAGGTTATTCGTTTAAATATCGTGAATTTTCGATACAACGTTTAAATCTGGAGTAATAATAGTAATAGTAATTGTTCGATATCGCGAACATATCTATAATATTCAGAGTTCGGGTCGTGTAAAACGCCTCACAATACGTGTAACAACTCTCACGAAATTTCATCGTCGGCTCTTAAAAAACTTTGCACCAGTACTCACGCTATTCACGCTCGTCTTGTTTTCCGCGAAATAGTCAATACGACGCTTGCGCACACTAAAAGTCGTATCGCAAAACCACGTTGACCGTCGTCAACGTCGGGTATATTAACAGTTCCCCGGCGTGTTCGTAAAAACGTTCTGCAATCATATTACATATTATTATATTGTTCGAAATACCAACGCAACAGCGACCTCTATCAATTGTTATTATAACGAGCGTTTATTCGTGTTTTTTGCAGGGCCACCCTGGGACGCGTGTGCCTGAAACTGGTGATCGTGATGGGCATCACGTGGGTGGTGGACGTGCTGTCGTGGGTGATCGGCGGCCCGGACTACGTGTGGTACGTGACGGACCTGATGAACGCGCTGCAGGGCGTACTGATATTCATAGTGGTCGGGTGCCAGCCGCAGGTGTGGATGGCGGTGCGCAGGATGTGGTGCCTGAGGTCGGACATCCCGTCGGACGGCGGCAACGCCAGGTCGTCCACGTCCAACGCGATGCCGTCCACCGTCAACGAGTCGACGCTGTCCAAACCGGTGGAGACGCTGTGCTGACCGGGGCGCGTCGCGGCGTCGCGTGCAGCGACGAGAGCGCGTTACGCGGGCGGTCGCGTGAGTGTGGGGGGGGAGTGGGAGGGGCGGCCGACGGCGGCACCGTCAAAAGTTTAACGAGCACGACGACGACCAGGGCACGGACCCGGTAGCGCGGCGGTACCGTTCGCGTTTTGTTTTATCGTTTTGGCGTATCGACGCCGCCGGCCGCCCAGCCCGTTTCGGCGAAACATGCCCCGCGCGCGCGTAACCCGGTGCCGCGTCGTCCGTTAACCGTCTTGCCCGCGAACCTGAACGTTTAGACTGACGAATCGTATTGTTTAACTATTATGACGTTGTAATTAATTTTTTTTTTTTTTCCTCCCCTCCTCTCGCTCTCCGCGCGCCCCTCCACGCACCCCTTTGACCAGTATTAATTGCGACCGCGCGATAACAATAACGGTAATGATATTACGTACGTCGCGCGACCGACAACGAGCCGTGGTTTGTTTCTCCCCCCCCCCCCCCCCCCC